ACTTCCTTAGAGGGGTGTCCCATGCGACGGTGCATAATCCCATAATCGACCACATAGCTCGTTGGGAATATAGAGTACGCATCCGGTGCAGGAATTGTACTGACACTATAGATAGTGTCGCCAGGCTGCCGCGGTAAAAACCTGAATAAAGGTTCGTGCAATCCCTTTTCGTATAGACTGATGTGTTGGTCATTACCAGACACTTTCAATTTATCCTGGAGCAAGACTCTGAGTGACATGAGGTGAATATTCAGGTCAGGTATACAGTATACTGGAAATAACTGAGTGGTTATGTTCCCGATGTCCTTGATATAATAATTCAGGACCGTCGTACTGAACCCAAGTATTCGTGCAAACCCATTCGCGGTAGACGCAGTCGCAGGTTGCTTAAATTCCTCATAGTCGATGAAGTCACTCATGTCATAAGTAAAATGCCGAGAGGCCCCCGAGTCGAGAATCCAGGTGTTTCCCTGTTGTGCCTTATCTTTCCCCTTACATTTTGCACATGCAGCATAAGTTTGCACATGAGTGCAATATATTACAGCCAAAGTTACAGGACTCAAATTAAGATCTACACTACGCTGTAAAGGGGAAGATGGCATGTATGGGTAGTGCTCGTCGATAAAGGGATTCTGGTCGAAGCCAGCAGCCTCTGCAATAGTGCTGTCCAGGTCTTCCTCATCGCCGAGACTGACAGTCTCCCCCTGGTCCTTGTCACTACCCCAGTTGATAGACTGGTTGTCATCATGGTCGCTGTCCGCAGCGTCATCCACGCGAGCGACTCCTTCAAAGTGAGCGCGCTTGGACGCGTGGCTGGAGGCGATGGAGTCAGCATCCTCCATGTTGACATCTGCCGGGTCCGGGTCAACCTGCACGACAAGGGTGTCCAAGACCTTGATATCCTCTTCGGTGGGACTGATGTCGAGGTCCTGCGCGAGCTTGAAGGCTTTCTTGATCCGCTTGTTGTTGTAGTGACTGGTATCCGCTGAAGGAGGTGGGTGGAACGGACCTTGCTCTTTAACCGTCTGAGTCTTGCTGCCGGTAGGCGCAATGTCGAGGACGTGAGTGATGGTTGGAGGAGGAAGGGAGATGGTTGAGGCGATTAAGACGTCATGGGCATGGTGGTGATCGTGATTTTGCCCTTGACGCTTCTTGCCTGCGTGCTTGCTGCGATAAGGGCACTTCTTTCCATCTCACGCATTGCTGCTGCTGCGAAGAAAAGGAGGGATCACCCGCCTTATGCTTCACTGCCGAGATCTTGTGTGCGCTGAGTCTCTCTGGCTTCTTGCCTTGAGACTGTTCCCAAGCGATGGTAACTGCTTCTCGTACCACACTTATGTCCACAGAGGTAGCTTGGACTAGCAACTGTGCGATGTTCTCGTAGCAGTTAGGGAGTGCATAAAGACAAATTAGGCCTTGAATAAGCGATGCAATCTGGACCTTGGCCGCTTCCAGAGTGTCGAAGTATTTGGATATCTTCACGAAGGCTGGGGCAGGGTGCTGATCTACCGGTATCTTCGTCAACAGGGCTCCCTACAGCTCATTGTAAATGGCGCTGAGAGTCATAGACAAATAAAGAGCTGGTCCCAAGTTTCCTTGGCTGGTGTCTTGTCCCTGATGTAGGAGGCGACGGCAGGAGAGCAGCGAAGATGGATCGTACCCATAGCCCTAATATCCTTTTCCTTCCAGGCATCGGTGGCAGTAGAGTCGTCGTCATTGACAGGAGGCTGGGTAATGTACCATCAACATTACCCCAGAGGCTTTGAGACATGAGATACGCCGTCATCTGCTCAGACCAGGTAGGACAGTTCGAGCCATCAAGGACGGGGACAACAGCGATCAGATTGTTCGACATTGTTTGAGGAGCAATTGAGATATCTGAAATCTGTATTGAGATCTCATCAGTATCAGCAAAGCTATGCAGCCCGATAAGGGCGCACTGCTCCATGCTGTTGGCTCCATCAGGGAGTTACCCCAGGATCAATCATCAAGCCTGATGGCTGCTGATAACAGAGCCTACGGCGATGATCACACATCAAGCCACACTGCAGCCTGTGAGGGTGCATAGGGCAATGCACAGGTGAGCGAGGTGCAATGCGCTGCAGCGAGTTACCACGCAGATGCAAGCTGCCTATTTGGGCTCATAACCTGATGAAGAGTTATGCAGGCAGCAGCACGTACAGTGCACCCTACACAACTCACCTGTATTGCTTGGATGCTGTAGCTACTGGTAAAGCTCGTATAAACAACCCTTTTCATTAGGCAGCAGAGCTGCAGGGTTTATATACACTGTGGCCCATAGGCTGACTAAGCTATGTGGAATATCCCTAATCCTACTGAGCTCCACCTATGATGTCACTGACCCACATGAGCTCCGTGCCCTTGTACGATAATGGAATATACCAGAATGTTCCAGAGACTTCCGGCACATTCTGGTACGCTGTAGAACCTGGCAGCTAAGTCAGTGCCTAGTTCAACAGTGCGCAGGCTGTTGCTGCCACAACCTCGAAACTCTTCCCGGGGCCCTCGCCAGCATCTCCAAGTTCATTTACATTGCCGTTAAAATTACAACTCACCTTACATGTTGCTGGGGCACCAACGGATGGAGCGGTTTTGAATGAAAACGTGGTATATTGGAATTCTACTGTACAGACGTGTTGACATGTCGCCATTCAATTCTACATAGGCCTTACATATGAGAAGCTTCTATTCTCGCTCACACCAACACCCACAGCGGCGGCAGTGAGCCACGTGAGGTCCCACACGAGACTGCCTAGTCCGGATTAAAACTCCGCTCATTAGCATTACTCATGAAGCGCCATCTGGTGCCGGCAACTTTGTTCAGGAAAATGACCTTGAGAACTTGCACTAAGGTCAAGATGTTGTGGCTGCTACACAAGGCTGACAAATCATCGTAAGGACAGTATTGCTACAATGTAAGATAATGCTAGGGATATTGTTAGTAATATATATAGGGGACCCAAGTTTTCCCCAGTTCTCTTTCAGTCAAGCTCCATCTAGGGCCAGGTAGAATGTCCTGTGCTGTTGTAATCCAAGAGATACTTATCCCCTCTCCAAGAATACCTAATGGTGTGTATCTGTTGCGTGGACATCTGACATCCATCTCACATCATATTTTTACCTTACAGTCTGTTGGGCCTCATGATCATAAGCTATGGAATAACATGGATTTTCTTGATTCTACTTATTTGTAAATTGTCCATCACATGTATGGCATGGAGACCCAGAAAACTAGCATGATTGAATACACATGTTAGATGGAGTGCACATAGACTCAAATCGTTCTCAAGCCAACACCTAAGTTTTACCTCATAATAGGCCTTCACCTGTACCTTGTGGCATCCACAAACCAACACTAATTACATAGTTAAGAGGGACTTGAGTGTGAACATTGAGATGCATGCCCGACCATGGCCACACTTCGGAGTTACACTCTCTTGGGCCTAGCAAAAGATTGTATGGTAGGGATATATGAAAGATTGGCTTTTGTAAATCATTCTGAGGCTCACAAAAGATAATCTTTATTGAGAATTTCGAAATGTGTAATATATATTTACAGCAGTATTATCTTTGTTGATACATCATAATTAAATCTTTTATATTCCATTCTGACACTGGAGGATTTGTAATCTTTAGGGCCAGGCAAAAGGTTGTACAGAAGGGAATTCCCAGCCAATCAGAGCCTGTGCAATTCCCTTTCATACAACCTTTTGCCTGGCCCTAAAGATTACAAATCCTCCAGTGTCAGAATGGAATATAAAAGATTTAATTATGATGTATCAACAAAGATAATACTGCTGTAAATATATATTACACATTTCGAAATTCTCAATAAAGATTATCTTTTGTGAGCCTCAGAATGATTTACAAAAGCCAATCTTTCATATATCCCTACCATACAATCTTTTGCTAGGCCCAAGAGAGTGTAACTCCCGAAGTGCCAAGTCCTTGTTCAGTAGTGGCATCACTAGAGCCAAACATAGCACGCCGGATTTTGCCGGTGCGACGAAAAGTGCGAAGTAATTCAAGGGTGCCAGAACCCCTCCCAAAGGGGGGCGTTACTCACTCCCAGGCATGATATTGATATTGAGCGGAGTTTCAAATCTATAAGAGGCAAGTTCGCGTGGCTCGCGACAGATGCTTGGGGAACTCTGGGGCGGGGATATCTCGTCTAAGTCGTTACGGAACTTCTAGGATCAATATTATAGTAGCAGTTATACAATGTAAATTTCCTGAACTTGTGTCGGCGCGGGCGTATCAGCCATGGTATTGCGAGCGTGAGGCGGGAGTTGCCGAACCATTAGCATGGTTCAAACTCAGCTCAATATCATGAATGACTTGTATACCAGGATTTCCTGCCCAATAAAATCCAAAAATTTTGTTTGAGTACTCTAACATGTTGTACCTATAGGATATACTAACCACAAAGCAAGCGCCATCTCATGGGGCATTGTGCACCCATAGTTCCGGTCGCAGCCACCCTCGATATTGTGCGGGGTTCTAATCGTGGGAACCGCTCACTCAGCGTCTCGCGCAGGCGGACCATAGACGACTTCAGCGTTTCAACTTGAGCGTGAACGATTACAAAATCCCAGGTAGTACTACTGTCACGAGAATGCCAATAGGTATTGTTTACTTGTAGCTACTTGAGACCCGCGGGTGCTAGTATCGTGAACCCGCCGGACACATATTTACTTAGATACCCGGTCGAATATCGGGAAGAAAAAATGAACTACACCTCAAAAATTGAAGGATCAGCACCCTAGGATACATCTAGTGCAACATACGGGAGCAGCGAGAGGTTGTACAATGTATAACCCGCTCGCTAGGGAAGAAGCATGCTTTCAGCCACATGCAACCATATTTGGAGCGGCCACATGGCTTACCCCTTGTTATTTTTTCTTTTTCTTCTTCTTTTCTTTTTACTGCAGTGGTATCATTATCGAGCCCCCAAAGGAGGGGCATCATTATCATGCGTGGCGGTGAGTAACGCCCCCCAACATCTAGTTGTACATCCAAAACTCTACATTCTTAGTGTTCTATACACATCGCTGATTGAAGGTACTTAGAGCTCTTCATTCTCATCCCCAAGTCCACCCTTATTTCTAGCACCACCCGCACTGCCAAGCTTGGTCTTCGTCTTAGCCTTCCTGCCGCCCATCTCCTTGTAAAGCTCTCGCATCTCGACTTTGCTAGGTCGCTCCGCTGCCTCGGCCTCTGCTTGCCACTTTTCTTCGCGAAACTCCTTGGGAGTCATATAGCCGGAGGGAGTAGAATATCCCGATCCACGCTTCGATGAGGGATTGAGCGGACCGAGCGGTGGCGGGTCGCGGTTAGGTATGGTCTGAGCATAAATGTGACGCTGCATTTGAAGTAGTTAGCCCGACGTCCGCTGCCATCAATGAAGTCCCACATACCCAATTCTGCTTAGACTCTCGCTTCGTCCACTTGCCAGGCGGCAAGCTCTCGTCGTGGAAGTTCTCTTTCCGATAATGCTGGAACCAAACTAGAAGGCGAGGTCAGACGGGTCGACAACAAAGGACAGAGAAGCTTACTGTAGTTGAGCGTCTGACTCTTGTTCCACTTCCTGGACACGCGCGAGCACCGAGCAAGGTCTCGGATGGATAGTTGGCTGAAGATCCGCTGGGACACATCCGTCGGAAATGCTCGTAGTGGGTCTGATGACGGCTTCTGGCTGCCTAGCGAAAGGCGAGACTGGAGTCGGCCGCCGGGAGCTGGGGATTGCGGCCTCGACGAGGGACGAGAGCCCGCTATGGGTGTACCAGGCGACGACATCTAAACGACGGTCACGATCACCGTCGATCGCAGATAGCAGGGGCTACGCACCACATTGACGTACTCATCGTCGGAATCGTGCGCGTCGTCGTTCTGGGAGAGGCCCAGTTTCCTCTTCTCTATGGAATCGGTGAGGACGCCGTGGAGGAGACTCATGGTGGGTGTATGCGGTGTGGGTGTATGCGGTGTGGGTGTATGCGGTGTGGGTGTATGCGGTGTGGGTGTATGCGGTGTGGGTGTATGCGCGCAAGAAATGCTACGGCCGCGGCGGCGAGACGACTCATAAGAGCAGGCGCAGAGCCATGACGTCACGGAGCCGCGGGCCCAAATATGTACAGCAGGTGTATAAATTAGACGCCGGGGGCTCTATACACCGGTGAACAGTGCCCAGACACCTTTCGCGTATCCTACGATCTCGTTCGCGCCCAGCTTGCTGTCCCCGAATATGCGGTCGACGAACGTGATGGGGACCTCGCCTACGCTGTACCCCAGCTGCCGTGCGCGCACCATCATCTCCATCTGGAACACGTATCCTTTCGACTGGGTGAGCGTAATGATATGCCGGAGGACAGGGAGTCGGTATAACCTGACGCAGCGAGGAGGGATAATCGGTAAGAGGATATGCAATTCGTGAAACATAACGCACCGGAAACTGCCTGTCAAGTCGCTCACACCAGGATTCAGCACGGTATCCGCCAGAAAGTTCGCCCCCCTTGACACCAACTTGCGCTTCAAATCCCACCCGTACACCCCTCCTGGTTGAGCTTCCGCGAGGTGGGGTTTCGCTTTCGAGCTATACCGTGTACCAGTCACGATGTCCAGGTTGTAAGCCTGCTGCAACCTGCACGACGAAGTCAGTGACGGATACCGTTTCGAGCGCGTGCTTACGCACCTGATGAATTGTGGAATGAACTTGGGCTGTAAGATATCTTGGTCAGACCCTGGTATGCTCGTCTAGTAATGTGGACGGGCGTACGTGATGCGAAAAATCAGCATCCATGATAATCACAAAATCGCCCGTACAGAAGCTCAGACCATGGATATATGCGGTCCTGGGGTAACTTCAGTGGCCATCACAGCTAACCTAGTAGCATCAGACCAACCCGAGACCTAGCTTCCCTGACCGAGGCTTCAAGACCTACTTCCGAGCTGAGCATGCAAGCCACGTATGCAGCGTATGCCTGTACTCACCACCTTGTCCTCTCCGTACACCTGAGCCAGCGCCAGCGCTACCTCCTGCGTCCCATCCGGACTCGCATCATCCACGACAATTATCTCCCAAGCAAGGTCACTGAATGCACACCACCGACACGTACCATCAGCCCAACAACCTCCCGTGCATTCAGAACGGAATCACTGACTTCTCCGTAAACGTCCTCGCCAATAACCAGACAATAATCGGCAAGTTCTTCCGCTCGTTATAGGTGGGCAGAATGACCGAGTACTTGTGCGTGTCGCGCGAGTCGTGGTCTCCAAGCATGTTCACCGCGACGCTGCTCTCGTATGGATTCATCCTGTCGCGCGGGCGCGTGTGTGACCTCTTGTGTTGTCACGTCTTCTCCTGATAACCACGATGGCTTCATTCGACTCTCCCTCGTCCGAGACACCCCTGGGGGCTGCAACGATGGAGGAGAGCACGACGACACCGGCGATTACCCGTCTTAAAGGATTGCTGAGGCAGCCGTTGCGGGTTACAGTCAAGGACGGCAGGATCTTCCTGGGCACATTCGTCGGCACGGACGACTCTCTGAACATCATCCTGGTCAGCACCGAAGAATACCGCATGCCCCAGGAAGGTGGGAGTCACCACAGTAGATACGTTGGGCAAGTCATGATCCCATGGAATCTGGTCACGAAGGCCGAAGCGGAAAGCCACTGGGAAGATAGATTGGTCGGGCTTTCCGACGAAGCATTAGCATGAATATATGCCGACGCAGGTATGTCAAACATTTGCAATGCTCGATTACAGAGTACATGTAGTAGAAAATACAGATTATACAGCACTTTCGGCCTTGTCTGCCTGTCAAAATAGTGGCCGGAATTCAAGATATCTCCCGTCCATCCGATGGGATTCAATCCCATCTTTAGAACAGTACCTCGGGGTATAGATTGTTGGGCACGCGGAGAGCCCTGCCTTCAGCTTGTTATATAAACTCTGGTTCAAGGAGGTCGCAGGCCCGCGGATGTTCGTCGGTTCGAGGCGGAAGGTCTTCACCTCACTTATACTTCTCCTTGTATATCCAAGCCAAACCTACGTCGCTGGCTCCTTGCGCAACCTGGAATATCATCAGTTCAAGCATGGAAGCAGAGCAAAACCACGCACAGCCGCCCGGTACCACTTTGCGGCCTCTTTCTTGTCCTTCTTACACCCCTTTCCATTAGCGAGACAGAATGCCAGATCCTGCTGAGCGTCCGCGTCACCAAGCTTTGCAGCAGTGCGGAAATAATCCTATCGCCATAGTCAGGATTCACTAGTAAATCAATTGCCTGTGCTCACATACCACGGCCATCTTTTGGTCTTTATGCACGCCCCATCCCTGGAAGAAACACTGTCCGACCTCATAGATAGCAACCACCATTTCCGACTTTTCTCCAATCAATACGGCCCGAGGACAGAATGCCGGCAACCCTCGCTCACCTTGATAGCATTCCTCTGCTCGCCGTCCTGAATCACCTGCAGATCATCCAGCGCAATCTCCGCCGCCTTCCTCAGCCACTGAAACCCGCTCTTCTCGTTCTTCTCGCACCCCCACCCATGCCGCTGCGAGAGCCCCCACATCAGCATCCCCGCCCCGCACCCGCCGTTCTCCTTCGCGCTCCGCTCGAAACACTGCGCCGACTCCTTCAGGCGGTTGTTCTCGTGATGCTCGATACCCTCCAGCAGGTAATACTGCGGAGTGCCTGGTATCGGCTTGGAGCCGTCGGTGAGCTGTGCTTCATCAGGCATAGGCATGGACGGTGACTGCGCGGGTTCAGGTCGCGCAGCTGGGGTAACTGTGATATCGGGCGTCTTCGGTGTTGTGGGGGAGGGTATCGCGCCTTCGTATGGGTAGTAGGAATATGAGGAGTACAGGCTAACGGGTGATTGGTTCCCAGGTCGGGCATGCGGGTCAGTCGGCGACGTGAGGCCGTTCGCGGAGGTAGGTGGAGTTGGGGATAACGTGCGGGAGGACACTTTCGATGGGCCAGGGATGCTGGCGGAGAGGGAGGACGGGGCACTCGGCGAGAAAGGCTGTGCCGCAGCCCTGATATCTCCTGTAGAGCGCGATCGGTCTAGTGTGCTCGGGGCGCCACTAGGGGCAGGACTGAGCATCCCGGGACGTAGAGACGATGGTGATGCTGTAGAATGCGCTCGGTAGGCATTTCGCTGTAACACCTGTTGCTTCGAATCCGAGCGGTCGATTGGGGGACGCAGTGATGTTGCGGGAGGACGGACTGGCCTGGAAAAGTTGGCGTTGGCGGGCATGAGCGAGGGTGCTCTTCCAGACTGCAGAGAAGTGACGGATGAATTGTGGGAGTGGTGGCCCTCCACCGGCGTGGATACGACGAGAGCGGGAACGGCATCCGGCTGATCAGGCTGCTGTGCGGTTCCATGATCGTTCTGTTCGTACTCCTCGTAGATGTGATAGGGATCATACGTGTCTCGTGCGCTATTCCGGGGGAAGGTGACGCTGGAATAGATACTTGCATCGTCATTTTGACTCCTTTGTCCGCCATACCGAGCGCCCGACGCGTCCTGGCTGCTATCGCGAAACGAGGAGTTGGCGTAGGACAGTTCTGTCGCAGTAGAACTCCTGAACTGGGTGTGTAGCAAAGGCGAGGACGGCGGTCTGCGCGGCTGTCTTGGAGGCGTCAGACTCCCTTCATCAGCGTAGGCAATTACGTTCTGTGGACCGCTGGGTTGGGGTGGCACAGATATAGCCTCTGGAGGACGGACAGCTTTCCGCGACGAAGTCCGCCTGACAAGTGTTTCAAGAGGGGAACTGGCCGGGAGGCGGTAGGAAGAAGGACTGTTCATGGACCGGTATAGTTAATTGCTCTTGACCAAGCCTTCCTGAAAGCAACCAGACCTGAATTGCTGCAACGTAGTGTCGGTGCTAGGCAAAAGCGGAGGATAGGCGCAGAATGAGAGTACATTGCGCAGAAGGAATACAGATTTCAACCTTCGGAACATGGCAACGGCTGTTCTTTCCATTAGGGCGCGTCCAGCCAAGCGGATCACACGGCCACAACCCTCCTTCGTTGCAGCCACCCAAGAAGGTTCCGCAACCCTACTTTATCTCTGCGGACTGTTGAACATCTCGCCTGTCGCGGTAATGGGCGGTTGGTTCGACCGAACATGGTATATCTATCACGCGACTTGGAGGTTGGTGTAGCCACGCTCGACAGAAATGAAGCGGAGGCAGGATAGATATTATTCCAAGTGTTGATACATACTATACGAATGTCCGCCAATACTCTAATGGTTGAGCTATATCCCTGCACGTCTTCGGGGTGTTTGCGAGACGCGATGAGCAGAACCAGCACCCGGATGTCTCGGTGTCCCGGGCATGATAATCTTCGAACTGCCGCTGGATATCTTTTGTGTCATAGCCTCCTCGGCAACCTTCTTGGCAGTCCTAAGAGACAGTCAGTTAATGCACCGGAAGGGAGGAGTCCGGTGCACTCACTCTTCGCGCTGCTTTGCCATCTCGGTTTCCAGTTCCGCCCTCTTCGAGAACTCTCGCTCGACTTGATGGCGGGACCCTGAACCATCGAAGTTCTTCTCCCGTACTGAGTAGAACACGGATCCGAGCTCCGCCAACCAGTATGCATCAATAGCTGTGACTATTGTCATATACTCCTTCGACGTCAATATCAGCTCATGGTAGATGACATATGTTGGCGTATCTGTGGATATCTGGGTCAGGTAACCGCGCACATCACAAAGAGATTAATTGAACACACAACCGAGACCATAAAGAGCACTGGTGGGATGGAGATGTGTTGGCATGCCAGTGCGGATGTTGATGAATTCACCAATACCCTTCACTCTAGCTGCTTGATGGAAGTACCCGGCAGTTATCGCTTTCCTGCATGGGAGTTGAACTACGTCGTCGGACAGGGACTTCGCTTTCCGACTCACCGTATCACATCGAAATCGGTCGCAGCACTGATGATCTCCATCTTCTGAAACTTCATGATGTCCTCAAGCTGGGCCCGGACCTCTCGAGCTTTCCTTAATAATTTGGGATGTAAGAAATGGCGAATGGCCCAATCATCTCGGAATCTGAGCAATCATCGTAAGTCAGCGCCCACGCAATTTAACACGCGATTTAACAAGATCGAAGTATACGTACCCGTGACTCTTCCACTGATTGAACACATTCAAGAGAGTCAGATGATCGCTCTCCGGCACATTGAACTTCTCTCGGGCAGCATCTGCTTCCTCCATCCTTTCCTTGGGTCGGTAGAACACACTCGGGACCGACAGCATCGAAACGATGGTCAGCATCTCAGAAGAGCACTTGTATTCCACTGATACGATCAGCATCTTCGCCATCGAAGGCTCCATAGGGAACTCGGACATCTTCCGACCGGTTGGCGTAAGGTCGCCCGCATTGTCTAGGGCACCCAGCACCCATAGCTGGTACATGGAGTTCAGGATGTTCGCCTGGGGAGGTGGATCCATGAAGTCAAACTCAAGCAGGTTCTTCACGCCCAGGGACTTGAGCAGCAAGACAGTGTTAGCGAGGTTGGTCCGCTGGATTTCGGGGATGGTGCTCGGGAACATTTCATTCCGGTAGGCCATTTCCGTGTAGAGGCGGTAGCAGAATCTGAATGGGAGATCGTAAGCTTCGATATGTGCATACAGCATGGCATACCAGATACGTACCCACTCCCTGTACGCCCGGCACGACCAGTCCGCTGGTTCGCATTGGCTTGACTGATGGGGGTTATCTGCAGGGCATCCATGCCAACTTTCGGGTTGTAGACCTTCAGCTTACAGTAGCCCGCGTCTACGACGTAGAGGATACCGTCGACTATAACAATATGATCAGGTTATCACCGCACAACCAACCGACAGTACTGTTACGCACCGGTAAGCGACGTCTCGGCAATGTTGGTAGCCACAATGACCTTCCGGCGACCGTCGGATGTCGGCTCAAAGATCTTTGCCTGCAAGTCCGCCGGCATCTGAGAGTAGATGGGCAACACAGCTAAGGGCGCAGGCTCATCGAGTTGGGACAGTCGTTCTACATGTGGTATGAGTCGTGCATTTCCAAACGGAGATGAAGCACGCTACCTTGCACGACCTGACAGGTGACCTCGATATCTTCCTGGCCAGTCATGAAAACCAGAATATCCCCTGGAGGTAGCGATAGATGGATCTGAAGGACTTGCTTCACCGCACTATCCACATAGTCTTCGCAGGGAGACTTGGAATGGAAAGTCTCGACAGGGAAAGTGCGACCAGGTATCGTGAAGCATGGCGCATTCCCATAGAAGCTCGAGAACTAAGCAGCGTTCGTGAGCATTAGCAAGCACTTGATGATATTGACTGACAAACCTTCTCCGCATTCATCGTTGCCGAAGTAACTATCAGTTTCAGATCCCTCCTGCGAGACAAGACTAAGGAAGAAACGGATCAGAGAAGGATTACAAAGAATATCGTGCGGCTCACTTTTCCGAAGCAGGCCCATAAGAACGTCCGTACTTAATGAACGTTCGTGAGCCTCATCCAAAATGATGACGCTGTACCGATCTAGGTCACCTTCGTTCAAGGACTCTCGAAGCAGGACACCGTCAGTCATGTCTTGGAAAGGTGAAATAATTAGTTGGCGAAGACCCAAGGTACGATAGCTCGCTAAACTTACATTTAATCTTCGTCTCCGGAGATGTGCAATCCTCAAAACGAATGGCATATCCCACAGTGCTGCCCAGTTTGCACTTGCAACATCCGTCAGCGTCACTAATCAGCACTACGACTAATACACGTACCTCCATCTCCTCGCTGACCCGCTTCGCTACAGACATAGCAGCCACCCGGCGAGGTTGCGTGCAGCCTATGATACCGTGGGTGCAATAGCCGTCCTCGTACAGGAACTGCGCCAACTGGGTGGTCTTTCCCGAGCCCGTCTCGCCGACGACGACGATGACTGCCAACATCTGTGAGGCGACCTCACACATCACTAGGCTGTTTTTGACATACCTTGGTTCTCGCGAATGACCTTCAGCAGCTCCTCGCGGCACGCAAACGCAGGCAAGTACTCCCGCTGCTCCTTCAGCGTCTTATTCCTCGCGAACGAACTCACACCAGCCTGTTCCTTCAGATGGCTCGCAAACTTTGACTCGCCCTTATAGTCCTCCTTCACGCCAGCCTTATCCTTCGCCTGCGACTCAGCTGCAAGATCGGAACAAAGTAGACTACGTGAATGTCCAATCCGAAGAACAAGAGTCATGCATAGAAGGGGACGCACCGTCGGCTTCGCCTTCCTCGTCCCGCACGCCCATGATATTTCCAAGAGCAGTTCCGCCCAGCGCTGCAAGCTTCGCTGCTGCCTTGGCGCGCTCCGCCTGCTCTCTCTTCTCCTTGACGAGAGCGCTACCCTTCTTGGAGAAGATGGCCATATCGCTCGTTGGGTCTCGGATGGGGTTGATCGGGTCCAATTGCTTTGTGAACACAGTACGACCGTCCAGGAAAGGAGGTTTCAGGTCATGCACCATGACATGCACAGTAGACTCAGATTCATCCTCGAAATCGAGATCCAGTGCCTTCCGAGTGGCAACGCCAGACGTGACCATACGGTTCGCTTCCCAGAGGTCATTATCTGCGTTCTGTGTCCATAGACTTTAGTATACGCATGATTGATTAGACAATAGAATTCTTACATATTGCGCTTGCCGGGCTGACACTTTTTTCTGTACGAAGCATCAGAGACTTCACAACAGCACTGAAATAAGACTACGCACCACTTTCTTGGTCTCAATCTCCGCCTGCCGTATACTCTCCAAATCATCATACTGCGCCAAGGGATTGTGCTCCTCATCTCCCATCAAGTTCCCTTCCTCTGCGCCAGCATACCAATCGCGATCCAACTGGATCTGCTCCTCCTCCCACTCGCGCGCGTCGATGCCAAACGCACCTTCCCCGTCCTCGGGACTGCCTGCCCTCGCTACGCGAGGAGTAGGCGCATCCCATCTGCGATTCCGCGCGCCTCCCCAACCCTGCCCGTCCTCGCCTTGCGCATTACGAGGGGTAGAGTCCCAGGCGGCGTTCGGAATGCGAACGCTGGGCGCGTCCTCCCTGGATCCTCTTTCGGATCTCGGAGTCTCGTCCCAGCCACGTCGACCACGCCTGTCGTACCCTGGTTCTCGGTTGAGTCGACGCTTGAAGTCTCCCAGTCCGCGAGGCCCGTCATCTCTGCGCTCGTTGTATGCAGCAATACCCTCTGCATGTAATCGGCGACCAGTCAGTGGTACTCAGGCAGAGTAAATGGTGAACGCACCTCGCTGCTTGTCCCTACTCTTGCGATACTCCTCCAACCGTTTCCGACCCGTCTCAGACAGCCCACCAGGATGCGAGGGCGTCTCCTCGCCCTTCTGCCTCATAGTGCCGCGAGATGCAGGGAGGTTGGGGACTGCACAGAAGATTACAACTTGCACTCCGTTCATTGAGAGCTCCCTTACCTTTGAACATAGGCTCGTCCGGTCCGTCCAACCTCGCCTTCTTCCTACTACCACCCTCTTCAGCAGCCTTAGCAGCCCGCTTCTCCTGCGCGAGCCTATCCAGACCAAGGACAGACGTTCTCGGCGTCGGAGGTTCGAGCTTCTTGTTCGGCGCCTTGAACGCATGGCGCTGCACCGCCAGTCAGTATGCGCCTTGCAGTAGACAGCACAGACTATACGTACCGCGTCCTTGCGCATCAGCCCGCCCTCCCGCACAGGTTCCGGCTGCAGAACCTCACTGTCATGCACAGTGATCCCCTTCACTTCTTGCGGCTTCAGCCCCGCTGCCTCCTGCTCGGCGTGTCTCGTAATTTCCCCATGTAGCTCCGCTAGGAAGGAGTCTTTGAATTTACCAAAGGCTTTTGCAGCTGGCACAAATGACGGCGTAAGCAATGAGTGGCAGACAGCACCAATATAAACCGACCTTGGATGAAGCCCTCTAACGTGTTCGTCTTCGCAATGTCCTGCACCCGCCTGGCCAGGAGATCATTTGGGTTCACGATGTTCAACGCGCGAGACAACTTGATGGCAATGTGGTGATTGAAGTCTTCGTCGTGACTCTCCTGTCCATTAGCTCCGTTAGTCGGCGGCGGGGGTGAAGCCATGGAAGTGCAGGATCGAGCAAAGTCAGACACAACTTGAAGTCAGTACAGTGGAAGGTGAGTGGCGTTGAGATCAAAGGTGTATTACGTGAGCGACGCGTCTCATTTGCGGCGCCTGTGGCTGCTCTAAGACTGAACTCAAGTACGAAGACCGACACAAAAATGACGAGTAAGGACGATAGCAATTATAACTAGTACTATAGTCTGCCGCGAGACAAAATTGTAGATACCCTTCACACGGGAACAAGTTGCCTGTCCCCTTGGCCGGCGTACTTGTCCCCCTGTCCGACGTACTTGTTCCTCGGCTTCGACGCCTGGTACACCTCGCTCTTGACCACCTTGTGCGAGACGTATCCGTACCGCGGCTCGGGCACCTCTGCAAAGACACCTTCAGCGCTAGCTTACCAGAAAGTAAATCATGCATCCACTCACTCAGCACCTCCGCGTAGATCCTCGACACCTCCTCGTCCCACTCCTCTCTCCACATATGCGCCGCGCCGCCTTTACTCCCGTCGAGCCCGTACTTTTGCATGAACGCGCGCGAGTCAAAGTTCACGCGCTCCTCCATCGTCGGCACAGGTATATCCAGCGCCTCCGACGGTGAGCTGTGCGGGAGGAGGAGGAGCACGTAGCGGTGGTACGGCGTCCCCCTTTGAGGGTGAGGAGGGATGTACGGAGTGTGCGGCTCTTTGAACGTAAAGGGGCCCGTGGAGGAGGTCGATAGTTGGATGTTAGGTCTAGAAACACGCTGAGCTTTGCCGGAAGATAGATCACAGAGAGGATATCTTACTGCATCCAATGCAGGAAGGTCTTATAGCGGTGATTTTCGGCATCGGGGTAGTCTGCGAGAATGCTGAGAACAGAGCACATATACTATACAGCCAGAATCATACCTGCATCCACCATTATCATAGTGTAATACCGAGGGTCCGTATGGAAGACCGTCGTGTATATCCGGGGCGGTCCCCGAGTCTGCTTCGCCATTAGGCCGAACCTACCTGGCCGGAGGGATGAATACGCACCTGCTTGGGCGATAGGAAAACCCCAGGCTCGACCCCGTGATAGCGCTCCTTCGGTTTCTTCCCCGACGCTGCATTCTCAGGCGGCAACTCGGGGAACGTTATGCGCATGTCAAAGGAGGGATGCAGGGAAGGCAGAATATCCGGCACGACGTGCATTTGATGAATACGCTCCATCTGCAACCGCTACACGTTAGCAGCCAGATGAACATGGAAACGAGCTCATACATACCAGCAAATCCAAGTCCCCGTCGCTCCTCCACCGCTGCTCGACCAAACGCCTGTAAACAGGCTGGCTCAAATCCGCTGCACGACCACAAAACCCTCAGCACACCCCATCCCTCCGTATCGCAACTCAAAGAACGCTCACCCATCCCATTCCTCGCCTTCCACCGCACCTCCGGCAAGTTCACCAGGCCCTGCACCCTCAAAATCTCCAACCTCCTCCTCTCCTCCTCCCCGAGCTCCCCCTCCTTCCTCTCCAGCTCCCTCGCCTCCCTCAGCACCCTCTCCGAGTCGCGCTTGATCACCCGCAACGCCTCGTCATACGCAGGCAACACCCCCGGCGCGAGCGGCCTATTCCACTCCCTCGGGCGGTCGAGCGTGATGAACGGCCGGCGCGTCTGCAGGGGGCGGTTGCGCCCCTTCGTGCGGCGTTCAGATTCAGGGTCAGCAGTGCCCGACGCACCACTAGTAGTAGACCTCTCCTTCGCCTTGGGTGCCTCCGGGGGCGGCGACGGGGGAGCAGCGTTTTGTTCGACGGCTACGGTCGCATTCCCCCGTCGGAGTGCGTTGAGCGGGGCGCGGGCCCGCCGGAGAGTAAGCATACAGATGTATGTATGAGCTGCAGGGAGAGCCAGGAGGTCACGGTGTCCTTTCAGCCACCCGCGCGAAATCGTAAACTTTTGGCATACGAGCCATATTTAGACTTTGCCCCTAAGTATTTCCCGTCACCCTCCGTTCTGCTTGAGCCTTTGGACTTGGAAACTGCACTCTAGAGGCACACAAGACAAAATACCAGTCTATCACATTATCTACGTGCCCAAGCCTATCATACGCATACATCAAAATCTACATACAACCCCCAAAATAAAAACACAACACACACAGTGTAACAGACAAGCAAACTACGGAAATGGTATCATAAAACACACAGGGGGAATATACTACGGTAGCAATAAACATATTCACATTATAAGAAACCGGAACCAAGAAAGGGACAAACACAGAGCATAGAGAGCGAGCGAGCAAGCGACGAGGATATCGATGATGATTACACACATGGCGGTGGGCGTCTATGCAAGAATGCGCGATTATATCGGGATGTACGAGTCCGTGGCCCACAGCGACGGCAAACAGCGAGCAGACCAGAGTAACGAGGGCGACCCTTGACGCGAAACCTAAAAGGTCGGGAGCAGAGGCGGCCCTTGGGGGCTGCGCGGCTCGAACCTGCACGGCACCCGCAGCTGGAAATCTATCCAACAACGTCAGACTCCGCGCCCTACGGGGATCAGACGCCGGCATATCAACTCACCTCCGTCCCGGAGCAAAGGGTTCGCCCTGGGGGGGTTCCGCTCCCTCTCCTCGCGCGCGAGCTCCCGCTCGTACTCGAGCCTGCACCCGTTCAGGCGCGAGTTGATCGGGATGGTCACCTGGCGCGGCGTCCACCGCCCGCCTCCAGTGGCCTTGCACACCGCGCTCGAGTTGCGCAGCGGGTACGCGTCGAGCTCGCCGTAGCTCGCGCTCTTCTCGTTGGTGATACTAGGGCGAACATGCGACAGGGAGTTCGCGCGCTGCAATTGCACGGCGGGGCTGGTCATGGAGCGGCGCATGGACGGGCGCGGCCTTGCCAGCGCCGGAACATCCTCGGCGGATGTTGTCGGCGGGGCAGGGCGGACCCGGATGTTGTGGATCTGTTGGTAACAGTCGTCGCAGACCCTGCTGACGGTGATGGGCGAGATCGGGGACTCGAACACGGATATCGGGATGTTGCGGGGCGGGTGCATAAAGTTAAGGTTGGAGGTGTCCAAAAGGGGCGTGCTGCGAGTGGTGCAAGCCGAGCAGAACACACCGCCACACTTTCTGCAGTGCTGGAGCGCGGTCAGTGCCATGTTGAGATGGCGTACCTATTGAACTCACATGACGGCGTTGGAAGAGGGAAAAGGGTGCTTGACAAGTGAATGTCTCGCATCGCGTGGCGAGCGCGTCCGGCTTCCAGAGATGCTTCGGAAGGAGGACGGCAAGGTGTTCGTTGTTCCCGCTGGAAGTCCGGTGGCGAGGCTTGCGCTCGACGGGCGAAGTGGCAGGTTCGGAAAGGCACGAGGGACTGCCCACGGATGTCGGCGCAGTCGAAGACGAGGAGGAAGGCGCGTAGTCTAAATAGTGCAGTTCAGTCTTTCTGCCACGCGTCAGTGGCTGAAAACACGTACCGCCGGACGACGCGAGACTGTGGTAGTCGCTGTCGTCGGACGACGATGCCGAGCTCGACGACTGGACCGACGAGCCGGGCCTGAGGATGGCGACGCGGAGGGGGGCGGGGAGCGACATGGCGTGGCAGAGGTTACGCGGGAGGGCGGGAGGTGTGGCACGGGCGGGGAGCGAGGCTATAAGCAAAAGTGATGTGGGAATTTTGATTCCGCGACATTGCGATCAGATCTGATCGGCGTCAGGGCCACGATGCCAACTTTATCCCCCATCACCGCGCACGTGACGCGTCCACACGCGTGCGGGCTGTCCTCCGGGGCTCCTATTCGTTCTGCCATGCTCCGCGCACACAGCTCTGCAGCTGCGTATATCGTTCTGGCAGCCAGCGCCGGTGCTGTGCGCTCGCCGAACGGTTCATCCTGGCGTCGCAGGGCAGAGGGGACCGGAAAATGCGCTCGGGCGGACCCTGTAGGGATTCGCCGGGGGTAGCGTAACGGCGGCCCAAAGAGGAAGGGGACGAGCGTAACCTGCGAAAGCGCCACGAGTGCGAGGCCGTAAGGCGACCCCGGAAAATTGCAAGCAATATCCCGCTGATGTTCGCGTGGGCGCGAGGCCGCGCGGACGGACACCACTGCGCCGCCCGCGTACCTGTCGCTCCCCAGCGTGCTCCCGAGCGCCACGCCTCGTGTTGTCGAAACGAGAGAGGCGTCGACGACGGCGAGATGTCTTCATCCGGTCGGGCTCGCAGAAAAAATATCGCGGCAGCATGCGCGTAAAAAAGCAGAAGGGGCGGGACGTTTCAGCGGTTTACGGCGAGGTTACGGCTGCTGTCGAGGATGGTTACCCGCGCGCTGCGATTCGCTGACAGCCAGGGTCCAGAGTGCGGGCTTCTCCGTTAGTCTTAAACTTCCAGATCAGACAGGAGTGTTCCTACTTTCGGGCGGGCGGGGTTAGGGTTTACGACAGTCGAAGCGCCAGCGCTATGGTGCGGTGCACCTAGTCACCGCTTGTGGTGAACTACTGCCAAATCGGCGGGAGGCCGAAATTTTTTTGAATATCGTCTGAAAATGCCGAAATTTGGGCCTGTTAGTGGCCTATTCGTTACGGAAAGGCCTTTGCGAGCTTGCCTTGTCAGAGCTGGTTGCATGCCGGCATTTTAACCTCACTTCCCCAATAAATGGGTCCCCAGAAAAAATAACAGAAGATCTTTGGGAGGCCTCCCTAATCCTTCACCGACCTTCGGCGGCAGGTATCGTCCGATAAAAATACTGAGGTGTAACACAGCAAAATATAGATGCGATATCACCTCAGAATTTGGCGATGATGTGACTGTCACCTCACGAGCCCACGAGCAGAGTGGGACTTCGACGCATCTGCTCTCCTACGTCGTGTTATCCTCATACGTTCTTTCCTGCTAGCTCATCGCATTAACCCTGGATATATACCTGGCTGCATCATGTCGAGATCCCGACGACCGACCCCCTCTCTGTTCCAACTGCCTAGGTTCGATGACGACGCGCACGGCGTCATCGCTGGCGCTCACCGCCCTCAGGCTCATGACGAAGCAATGGCTATAGACCCAGCCCCAGCACCCACCTTATTTCAACTGCCCGAGGGGGCAAAGCATGGTAATAATCCGGTTCCTGAACGCTCACTTTTCGACATATCGCAGGCGCACCGATCCAGGATAGGAGCTCGGCCGCTCTCAGAAGGCCGGGACTTCGGTAAGGATGCCATTGCCGGGCGTCGTACTACCACACGGCCCGTTCCTTCGCAGCAGGCCCGCCTCACACCAGCGGTATGTCCTGTCATGTTGGATGATGCTCCGGAGATGAGACCTCAGGTGGACGAGTCGGGCAGGGGGAATGGAGACCTTGAGGAGTACTGGCGGAGCTGTTGTATGGATGCTGGAGTGCTACGGCTGGATCAGTCCACATATGCTGTCCAGGACTGGGATGCAGGCCTTTCGGTGCTGAAAGTGAGTCCTAGCGCCTTCAACCTCAGACGAGCATACTGATAGCAACATAATACAGTCGTGGCGATTCCTCCATGTCCGATGCCTGCCAGTTAGCGATACCGACATCACATTCATATGCGACTGTAGTGCAAAGTCCCCATGTATACACAGCAGGCTTCTAGTCCATGCAATAGACAAGATCATTGCCATGCAACCGCTCTCGTCTGAACCCTACCCTCCAGCTTTTCTGCTCACGGAGACGGCTGTCCACGAGTGCTTCGTCTTCAGTGTTCGAGGCTCTTCTCAAGTCGGAAGCTCGGGCGGCAAGCGTACGATTGTCTACCTCCTACGGAACGGACAATGGCGCTGCCGGTCGTGCTCGTCTACTCGCACTTGTCATCACAAGGAGTTTGCAATGGAGTATGCGCGGGGTGCGGAGATCATTGATGATGAGGGGCTCCTCGCGCGTGTTGATGACGACTTGGAGGAGCTACATCAAGATGGGATCCGGGATGATGTGGATGGCACCCATCTGTCTGCTGAGGTTCGACAACCAATATCACACTGTGCTATTCCTGTCCCGCTCTGGTGCAGGCTTCCAAATGATACTGTCGACTACGTCTACGAACCAGGCGATATACCTCCAGCTGAGATCCTGCTCGATGATGCGGCTCGCTGCTGCTGTGGGAACTCTCCCGCCCAAGGAGAGATTAGTACCTACAGCCGTGTATTTACTGTATACGGTCTTCGAAAGGCTCACGAATGCCGCATTGAAGTCTCGGACTGTCCGTCCTGTCACCATCGTTTCCGTCAGGTTGGTCCTGACTGTGGCTCTATTGGTGTCTTCAACTGGAACAACGTTGTCGGCTTCACTCATGAACTCCTGAATCAATACACCAACGTTTTCACAACATCACCAACACCCTTTGCTTCGTTTGTTGTTGCTACTCGGCGTCTGTATACGGCTGCCCGGTCTCCAGTCCCTTTCTGTACACCCAAAATGTTCACCAGCGCATGGTTTGCGTTCACAAGTCTCCAGCCTCTTGATTCAGGTATGGAATGCCCGACATGTGGCAAACATCCTGAGATTGTCATTGCCGACGGTGTCAGTATTGGCTATTCATCCGCAAAGTTTGTGCAGGGACTACGACCTCCAACACTCATCCAGAAGACCAGCCCAAAGAATAGCATGGTGCGCAATGTATCAGGTGTCTCGCGGGCTGCAGTGTCTCGTAAAGATTATCGTGCAGAACTGCGGTCATTGACAGTTTCAAAGCTCGCGCCGCAGGGCAGCTTTGTCTCTAGCGGTCTACACAGTGATCTCCCAGCGCTGGCATCACTAGCAACACTCTACATCCAATCCGACTCTACCAGCTTGCAGCCGGCGGTTCGAGAACTGATTCGGCAGGTATGTCTCTTCATCAGATACCTCCCATCAGGCATAACCTCATTATGCATGTAATCATGTAGATCACTGCCGATGACATCGTACTCTTGTTAGTTCCATACCCTGCCATTAGTCTACTCGCGCGTTTCGCGCTATCATCAGAGGTACCTCCGCACCTCCAGCTTTGGGTGCCTGCAATGGGAAATGTCATTCATTCTATGGAGCCTGGATCTACGGGCATAAATATGCTCCGTACCGTTGCTCTGTGGCTTGCCCAGCGGGCCTTGGAAGTCTTCAATTCGTTATCACAGCATGCACCTGCACCCGCAGATAATGAACTGCCGCACGGTCATTGGCGCGAGACTGGGGTACGCTACAGCACCCCTCCAATCCGGTTGAGGCCTCACTACCCCAACCTTGTCGGGGATGGTCTGACAGAAGACAAACTCGAGAAGGATGCGACAGAATGTGGCAAATACTACTCAACGTATAAGAAAGTCGGCTTGACTGGGGGTATCATGGTCCTATGGTGTCGACATCTCATCTGTGTCGGCTTTCATACTATACCGACAAGTGAGGGTCGGAATGATGTCTTTGCGGCACTATATACTCACTGGCCAGTGGCACCAAAAGTCGTCGTGTACGATTTCGGTTGTCAGCTTGCTCCCTATGCCTGGGTGCGTGAAGCTCAGTTCTTCCGGGACACACGTTTTGTGGTCGACCAGTTTCACGCCTCTGGCCATACAAAATGCAGTCGAGCATCATCTGCCACATTTGCAATGCAGCACGATCCGATCCTCCAATCAGTCAATACAAGTGCAGCAGAAATTGGAAACTCAGGTGTGAGCAAGATACGGAAAAGTGTCAGCTATATGACACAGTAACATGCTATACATTATACGGGGGTCTATATGGATGTTACGAACCGTACTCGGTACATTAGCTTGATGACTACCAGTAGGGAATAGGAAGTTATATCGAGGGAATATTTTATATACTGTCAGTTCATTGCATTCATGAACTCTGGATCCAGTTCCCGTAACCGAGCGGCAAGCATCTCATTCTGACGCTGCGAAGCTTCCAGTGCGCTGCCCACTTTCTCTCTCTCTCTCTCGGCTTGTTCTTTCAGCAAGCGGCTCTCCTCTGCCTTCCGCCGTTGCTCAGCGAGACGATCATGCATACCCATCTTCTCCATCTGGCGAGCACGTATATATAGTTTAGACATAGCATTGAGATGTTCTTGTAGTTCAGGATGAATTATTGGGTCGCCTTGTAGGTTTGGTGATACATAATACTTGTGAAGGCCTTGGTCCATTGACTCTGGTCTGCCGGTGATAACTTAAGATCTATCAAATCGAGGGAAGTCTCAGACATGCTTACCGTGCTAACAAAAGGACAACATATGCCCTTGTCTCTTCATAGATCTCCTCACACTGCTCGTCATGAGTATATGCTTGCAGAAATAAATGATAACTCACGGTCTTCACTAGTGTATTTGTCCGCTTGGAGTACTTGTCAGTCCGCACTTTGGTGTTGTTGATGTATGGCTTAGGTCTCGATCGGTCTGCGAGAAGTATTATCAATCAAGCCTACTGTCGACTATGCACTTGCTTACCTCAAACTGTCTTATGTTTCCCAACAGTCATCTTTGGAATACTCGAGTCCATCTGACAATTAGTGGAATCCGCTAGAGCCGCATCAGACCCTTCCGCGGCAGCAGTACCAGGAGCTGTCAGATCCAGGTTGCTATTATCACTGGGGCAGTGGGGCACTGCAGTGAACTCCGGAAACAGTGAAAGTGCACCGAGATCCTCCATAGTGATAGGTGATGCAGGCAGAACAGAAGAAGGAACAGCTGCACTACCCAGCACAGACATCATCCCATTAGGTATGGGTTTGGGAGAAGCACGAGCCAGTACTAAGATGTTATGTGAGGTGTCCGAGCCACTTTCTATGGAACCAGCTGTGTCCAAATGCGTGACATATTCCTTAGTGAAGGTCGCCATAAGGGCAACTAGCATGTCATCATTGAGGGCACCATGTAGCTCTCCACCAGCATCCAGAAGTGAAGCTGAACATATTCAGCCGTGATGCGGGAATGTACAGAAGAAAGAGCTTACAGAGAGAACCACGAGAGAGGCCGTCTGAGATGTCAGAGATCTCGAGACCATGACCCTCGAAGTCCCCCTCATTCATCAGTCCAGCACCAGGTAGGTACTCTACCACAGGATCGGCCGGTGCAAGGGCATCCCATGGAACAAGCGAGTTATCAGGGCCTACGGAATATTCACTCGGACCCCCAAATCCGAAGTCCTCAAAGATCATCACTGGCGGCACTGCCGTGCCAGCAGCATACTCCGTATCCCTGGGCCATGACGCACCACACTCAGTCACATCCACCCCTACAGCACCACCACTCCCACCATCCACACCACTGTCCAAATAAAGCTCAACATCAGAAGTCATGAATGGTTTAGGGACCGCAAGAACACAGTCAGGGATTGTGGGACCAGCCGTATGAGCGACAGCCGAGGGGTCGTAAGCAAACGGGGGATGCAGCAGGTCAGACCCAGGACCCGGAAGCAACGCGCCACCACTCGCAGCACTCCTGCGGTACGGGCAAGCATGTCCTTTCCGTAGGATGGGCCGGCGCTCAGCGTCCGTGCACTTCCTACACAGCTGCGGCTTTCGTGCGCGTCGCTGCATAGGAACGTCAGCGGCTGAAATCATAACTTGGGCGAACATGAGTACCTCACCAACGCTCGGATCCGCTGATGTGCTTGTCTCCATGGCGCAAAGGTCAGCAGCCAGGCCCACCGATAGACTACGAGAACACGATCAGCAACCACGACAGCGACAGTCTACAGCATGGTAGAGGAAGCGGAACAGGAGACACACGACGATTCCCTCAGCTGTACATGATATAAACGTTTGAAAGTCCGCAAATAGAAACGATGCGATAGCACCTCAAAATTTGGAGGTGGCGGCACCTCAGAATTCTGCGGTGGGAAACCTCAGTATAATCGTCAGGCCATGCCTCTTCGGCGGAGCCAATGCAATGCATTTCAGCGTGTTTCCAGCAGTTTCCCACGGGTTCCGAGGCAAAACAACTATTTTTGACGGCACACTGCCAAATCGAGGAAGGGCCTGTTTCATAACTCACTCAATATTGGGTATTTCGCAAATCCCTCTTGGGAATTGACTCCTTTTGACGAAAGGATCACTTTGGCAAGAGGGATTATTTTTCTGATTTTTCTTGTATTTCCCACGGACCTTGTTCACCATAAGCGGTGACTAGGTGAACTGCACCATAGTGTTCGGGGAGAAAGTCGGTGGTAAGTTACCTCCTGGTAAGTTACCGGTAAATTACTGGTAAATTACTGTAAGTTACCACCTGCATCGGGGATAATTCTAATCAGCAATTCCCCTGAGAGCAACAACCCGAGGTTGTTTGCTTACAAATCATCAACCCCCAAGAACTTATTTACTGTAGCTTATATGTTTTTGTCACTTTTGTCACGGTCTTATCTGGTGCCTCGTACTTGTTGCTGGTCAAGGTCCAAGAGCCACTACTAGCTGCTTCAAATCCATTATCTCTGACTATCAGCTGGATGGACCCACAGACCCTGGTCTGCTGGGGGGGGGGTATTTTCATGTTAAATAATAAAAATGACAGTGAATGTCCACTCAACTGTACATATCATGGGAAATGCATCACAGTGTGTTATTGGTATGAGTGAATTAAATTGGGGTTTGTTTATTGTTCTGGGGCATCATTGTTGCAAGTCCAATGCATCTGCCACCAGTACTTTGAGCATGGTTCCCCTGTAATACTGCTAGCACTGGATGACCCTGTGTTTACCTTCACATTTTGGACTCTGCACTTTTCTTGTTTCATTGCAGAGTCATCATCTCCTTCCTTAGTTTACTGTTATCATATCAGCTCTTGTGTACTCTACAATTGGTCCATACAGGTTGCCATGGTCCACACAGTGCATTTCTGAGCCCAACTGCCGAGTGAAGCAAACACCTGACTTACATCCCCCATCATTAAGCTCGTCATTCATACAATGATGCTGCACATCACTTGCAGCGTGGTCTGTGGCCAGCAGTAGTCTCCAACTGGGAGACCCTCAGTTTAATATCTTCATCTGTAGCTATGTACATGGAGTAAGGTCTAAGTAACCAGGCATAATGCAGATTAGCAAAACTTGATGTCACATGTGACTGCTGGTGGACAACCTGGGTTGCTGGATAATGGTATGGGTTGCTGAGGGGTTGTTGCTCTCAGGGGGGTTGCTGATTAGAATTATCCCTGCATTGGAGGAGGGGTGTAAAAAGTGTAAGTAATGACCGAGCAGATAAGCGTCCTTGCCCGGGTATGGTGGGATGCAAGAAGTCCTGTGACAAGTACCACAGTATTGAACCGGTATTCAATGTGTTCGAGGCATCTTCGTAGTGCATTGAGGCGAGAACAACAAAAATCATGCAAAATTTGCTATTTCCGCTATACGCACGGCGATTGCCGAAACAGGTAACTTACTGTAACTTACATGGGTAAGAAACAACCTCCAGGAGGACCTAGGTAACTTACCAGTAACTTACAGGCCAGGGACTTTCTCCCGGAACACTAGCCAGCGCTGTCATCGCTTGCCAGTATCTAGCCACGCCGTCTCGAATACAGCCAGCAGCACTCCGCTCTCAGGACCGCCGTCTACTCGCTTCATGATCACCTCCAGCGCCCCGGCGATCCTCTCCCGCAGCACCCCGCCCTCGCCGCCCAGCACGTGCCCCAGCGCGCGCGACACGAGCCCGAGCACGCCGCACAGGTACCACACCGCGTCCTTCCTCGCGAGCTTCTCCACCCGATCCGCACGCGACGCCGCGCATCCCGCCCCATCCCCCGAGCTCGGCTCCGCATACAGCCTGTCGAGTTCCCCAAGCACCGCCAGCGCCACGCCCTCTCTCACGTCCCCCAGCCCCGCCAGTCCGCCGTCTAGACCAGCGAGGACCGTCTCCACCAGGCAGAGCACGTCCGCGCGCATGTCCGCCATCCCAGCCAGCTCCTTCTTCGTCCGCTTCGTCGATCCCGCCCCGCAGAAGCTCTTGATGTGCATCCGAGACAGCACTGCAAAGCCGCGGATTGCAGGCACCAGAATGCGAGAAAGCAGCGCTCCCAGGATGTCGTCGACAGCACCCGCCAGGTCACGGCCAGCCCTCTTCGCCCGTCGCTTGGCACCTGTCTTGGGCACATTGTCGACCAGCATCGAGACGCCCGTGGACAGCACGTGCCCCGTAAGCCTGCAAATCATCTGCAGAGTCTCTTGTTGCTTCGCCCCGACCGTCTTTGCGTTCCCGGAGAGCACACCAGATAGCACATCGCCCAGCGCGCCCACAGCCCTCCCGCTCGCAGCAGCTATCAGCATCAGAGCCTCCGGAGACCTGGGCCCATCGTCGGCGGTTAAGGAGCTCAGTAGTCGCATAGCGGGCAACACACCCGGGGAGGGCGAGGCTGTAGGTACATCTGTAGATAGTCAGCGAATGATAGACGTTCGTGATCAACGAGCTCTTGATGCTTTTCGGAAAAAGAGTCGTCATGCCTCTGAGAACCCACTAGCATATATCCCACTAATCACAGCGGCCAGGTCCATCCGCGGGCCCTCCGCCTGCGTTTTCGGATTCTTCTTCTGCTTCTTCTTTGGCGGAGGGGCACTCGCAGGCGTCGGCGCAGAGGCCTCACTGCTCCCTACGCTCGCCGCAAGGGCCGCGCACTCTACACCCACCACAGTCGGCAGACGCGTATAGATGGCGTTCGAATGTCAGAAGACAACACCACCACCAAGACGCCACGGATTTACGTACTAATCTGCTCACTCTCGTACATCCCCTTCAGCTCTCTGACACAACCCTCCAGCTCCAGCGCACGCCGTAGCCACGCATCGGCCCCCTTCCCCTGCCCCGCGCTCGGGAACTTCTCGCACAGGTCGAGCACGTACTCTGCCTCCCCTCTAATGACGCACTGTCCCCCCCTCAACAGTGAGTACTGGAAAACGCACCTGCGAGACCCATGGCAGCAGGCTTGTACTTCAACGCGACAAACGCCTTCCGATTTCGACGCGCATCACATCAGAAAGCCCCCGCACCATGCTCGACGCAAAGACGTACGATGGCGATGCGCACCCGCGCGGCGTCGGTCGCTTGTGCAGGTGCCATATTATATCAACGCAGCTAGATTGTTGTCGCGCAGGGAATAGACTAGTAGGACCAGAGCAGTGTAGTGCAAGATGCGCGTCGCGTAAGAAAGTCGCTACCTCCATCGACGCGTGCAGTCACGCCGTGACCAACGCGTCTCTCTTTGTTCCTCCTAATCCTGCGACTCCTACTCCCTCCGTCCGACTGGCTTCATTGACCACTCAGACATTGCAAACTTGGAGGACAATCACAGTAACAATGTATGCATAGACATCAGACAGCGGTAACAGGTAGGCAGGGGGTAACGCGGCGGCGAAGAGACATAATACTACACACAGGCTCTACTAAAGCAACATCCGCCTATCGGCGCGGGCATACGAGTAAGTAAATTAGTACGTGAACGAAGTTATCGTGAATCGCAGGCTGATCAGGGCTGCAGACCTGCAAGTCAAGTCGCGCGCAGTTCAATCCAAATCCCAAGCTCAACCACGCCGGAGACTGACCTCACCGCTCCAGCTCGCCCCTCCCGCCCGAGCTCCTCCTCACCGGCGACTCGTCCTGCGCAGCGAGCACACTCGCGCGCACCGGCGTCCCCCACCCATCTCCGCCCGAGAACGTCAGCGCCCTTCCACCAAGCCCAAACCCGCGCCCGGGCGTCTGGAACAGCGCATACCGCCCATCTCCGCGGCTCGGCGTCACCGCCGGGTCGAACACCTCCCTCTCCCTCTCCTTCAGCGGCGAGCTCGAAAGAAAGTTCGGCGTCGCGAACATATTCCGCGTGGCGCGCGAGAACGGCGTCGCCGGGTCCTTCCCCGGGCTGCTGCCCCACGCGCTCGACGGCGGCACGCGGAAGCTGAACGCCTCCGCGAGCGGCGACTCTTGCACCGACGCGTCGTAGAACAGCGGGTCACGCGGCGTGCGCGGCGCTGCCCGTTCCTCCGAGGGCACCAGGGTCGGCTCCGACGACGGGATCAGCTCCGGCGAGGGCGTCCGCTCGCACTTTGGGCAGTACCACGCCGCGTCCGCCGACCCGAGGTCGTCGACGCTGTGCAGCCCGACGCAGCTTAGGTGGTACCAGCGGTCGCACCGGTCGCACTGGACCGCCTCCTCGCCGTCGTTTCGCCCGTGACACACGCACGATATGGTGCTGTCGTCGTCGTCCTCTTCTCGCTCCGCCTCGGTTTCTGGATGGTCGAGGCGGTACCGCAGCCTTCGCGCCGCCTTCTTCGAGAGCAACGCCGCCCGTGCGTCCGCAGGCCCGCTAGGTAAGTACACGCTCCCCTTGACCAGCCGACCCCCGCCCGGATTCGCGTGCAGGGGCACCATCTTCCCCCGGCCCATGCGTGCGCGCTTCGGCGGCCCGTCCTCCACCTGCCCCCACGCCGACGGCTCCTCGTCCGACCCGCTCTCCTCGTCGCCCGAGTCGCGCTCCAGGAACTCCGCTATGCGCCGCAGCCGCTCCTCCTCCTCCGCCTGGTTCGCCAGCACGCGCTCCCGGAGCCGCACCGACCACGGGAACTGCAGGTCGGGCCAGTTCGGCCCTACTATCGGTGCAGGGGCCGCCCGAGTGCTCCGCTTCCCCCCAGGAGACTCGGTAGGATGCGCACCAGTCGCCTGCCGCCGCCGGTTCTTCTTGCGCTTCCGCGGCGTGTCGTCGTCCGCCAGGCCGTCCTCTGGGGACACGTCCAGCAGCACCCGGCCCTTGCCCTCCAGATACACCGGCATGAGCTTCCTCCGCAGATTCGTCAGGGACTCGTACGTCTGGAACGCAGCCAGCCTCTTTCGCTTCTTCGCCTCTCGCTCGTCCGCGGGCGTCTCGGGGATCCTAGAAGGACCGGGCTGATCTGGTGTCGAATGCTGCAGCCACGCGAGCGTGTGTTCGCTGAGGGGCGACGAGCGGTCTTTGCCCGGCGTCCGTAGGACGTCGTATCCGGGACCGCTCCCGTACTTGGGGTACCCCCCAGCCATCAGGCTCTCCTCGAAGCTCTCTTCAGACGTTTCCTGGAACAGCTGGATCCGCCTGCCTTTAGTCGGGCTGTCCGCGATGCCCAGCCCTGCATGTGGCGCGCCACTCTGTTCTCCAAGTTGCAAGATATCGCTTGAAGATGTTCGTTCCATACGCTTGAGATACGGTGGCCGCCGAGCTTCCAATACGGCTTCAGAATCCTGGGTAGCCTCGCCACGCAGGTACTCCATTCGCAGAGCTTGCAGACGCTCGGACTCTGCCCTCGCAGAAGACTCGCGGCCCACAGGACGCGCGGTGAAGACGTCATCCGGGTCCAACGAAAACGCGGGAGGTGAGACAGAACGTTGTGATCGGCTTGCGATGGACAGCTTCTCCATAAAGGGCGAGGACAGTTGCGACTGGCCGGCGGTCTCGCCGGAATGAGCGGAACGTGGGGAGGAGATGATTGCGGCGGGCGCGAGAGGTGTGGAGCTGCCTTCTGATCTGGATCTGAATAGATATAAGGGCGGTCCTATTGATAAGATGGGCTACACGTACAGGTGTAGCGGCTCAGGCGTTGGAATCTGGTCCATTCGTATGTTCGGACTGCAAGGAGGTAAGTATTGCACAGACCATGATTTGGGCTAAATGTCTTACGGTGAGGAAGGTCGGGGGATTTGAGGGGCTGGCGGGCTACGAGAAGATTAACGTCGGTGGACGCACCGAGACGTGGGATCGCCTTACCTCGAGTCGGGGGTGACAATCTGTTGCATACGGGACTTGCTGCCATCGCTACTGGGATGTTCAATCCGACCAGCAGGGACGATGAAAAGCACCACACTTACAATACAGGATGCGGGGGACGCCGTGATAATGGAACGGGCGCAACTAGAGGTGCTTGGTGGTGGGATCTACGCTGTGTGAGTTCGCAGCTTTATTGATATGGGTCATCAGAATCGTGCACCTGTTCAGGATAGGTGACTCCGGCGACGCACGGCCGCCGTTGGGGAGGTGCATATGTCCGGGGCTAGAGAAAGTCGACGTTAGCAAGTTGAGTACAGGTTACGAATCCCTTCTCCTATGTGGCAGTCTATGGCTCCTCCCCCAGCACAACCATCTCTGAAACATATGCCATCAAAATCCTTCACCCCGTCCTTATATCCTTCATCCCAGGTCGCACACTAAGCAGCCGATCAGACAGACGTACCTCTGAGGCGTTGGCAGGTGCGTAGACTGCTTGTATACGTTGAACCCGAAGGGTGGGAGCAGGCCGCCCGTGCTGCTGCCATTGTGAATGAACAGGTGAGCGTTTCCGATCTAGCATCTGAGACAAACCTGGAACCGGCGACATTCTGCTCGCTGGAGTCCAAGTCCACTGTACGCAATGTTGGGGTCAGCATCTCAGGACTATGCCCAGCTAGAGAGTCGCTGGACTGCGTGGAAAAGCCAGCGATGGTCGTATCAGAGACATTCGGATCCGCGCTGGTTGAGATAGACAACGTGGTGCCCTCCTGAGAAAGGACGCTCATTCCCGTGCGTGGACGAACAAAGGTTGTGTGGCTTGGTCGATGAATAAAGTAGAAAGGGTTTCGCAATATTTGGGAGGAAAAGAGAGCCAGCAACGAGTGATCGGAGGACTTCAAGCCATGCAATGAAGATCGCACTCGCCACTTGTCCGAATTTGCGCCCACTCATTTGCTGACGTAAGAATCAAAATGCGCGCGTTCGCCGTTCACAGGACCCCGGGGATCGCCTCTCCGTCATCATGGACTGCTGGCACTGCTTCTTCGTGCTTTCTTACTAGGATGGAGGATATGAACGTCCTCGAGTTCTACTCTGGGATAGGTATAGTTCACTGTGTTTTTCACTGACCTGATACAACTGCGATACAGGTGGTCTTAGAGCGGCCTTTGAGCGTAGTTCTGCGACCGGTCGCATCGTACAATCGTTTGATTGGGATCAGGCAGCTCGTCAGGTGTATGAAAGCAACTATGGACCTGGCTCAGTTCAACAGGTTTTCATGTCTTAGCAGGATGAGTCAAAGGCGATGCTAATCCATTTTTCACTGTGACTAAGGTCGACATCGGGACGCTGAGTGCATCCCAACTGCCTCCCTCGGAATTGTGGCTGCTTTCTCCTTCATGCCAACCTTACACTGTCCTAAACCCTGACGGGAAAGGTGAAGGAGACCCACGAGCAAAGTCATTTCTCCACCTAGTCGATAATGTCCTCCCGGAGCTGGCACGGTTGGGAAGATTACCCAGGTATTTGCTGATCGAAAATGTGGCGGGCTTCGAGGTACTTGGTACTTTGTCTCTGTCCCGTCTGCACATGTCCGAAATTCTGTGCTCGCAAGTCCTCTACTACAAGACAGAAGCTCCTATCAACCTTTCAAGGTTTGGACTACTCAGCACTAGAAGTCCTGCTAACTCCCCTTCAATTCGGTATACCCAACTCTCGACTACGCTACTATTGCTTGGCCAAGCTTTCACCCCTGCGCTTTGCGCATATGAACAATACGTCAGAGGCGCATGTATGGCGACACATACCTGGGCAAGGCGAAGACTGGAAAGATCCGCGAGACTCTACCGTGCCAGCGTCTGGTTGTGAGGTTCGGCTCTACCTAGACGAGCCCGAAGCCATCCAGGGCGAATCACCCTACAGGATCCCGGACAAGGTGCTGATGAAATGGGGCCATCTCTTTGACATCGTGAAACCCTCGTCACGGCGTACTTGTTGCTTTACCAGGGGTTATTATATTACTCGTAAACCAAATCTTCACGGGCGGTTGATGATTTTGTCTTGCAGGCTACACCCACTTGGTGGAACGTGCCGGATCCATACTACAAACCAACGAATCACTAGACGTATGTCCCTATCATTGACATTGATATTGCGCCCTAGACCACGTCCATATAGACCACCACAATCTTCAATGAGTTCCTGTCAGCGAAATCACTCTCGCTTGATACTCCCCACCCTTCCACGGATCCCCTCAGCATTTTGCGTCCGCTCGGTCTGCGATACTTCTCTCCCACGGAGCTCCTTCGACTGTTCTGCTTCCTCCCTCCCGCCGCTCATGACACGACCACCTCTCAGGAAGCCCAGACAACATTTAAATGGCCGTTGAATACCTCCACAAAGACCAAGTATCGGTTGATTGGGAATAGTGTGAATGTCGAGGTAGTACGGAGGCTCATCAATTACTTAGTCCTGGAACCACCAGTAGAAAAGATACAGCCCATGATGGCCACATGATACATCGGATTACACTCACCACTATCTTTGAATCTCCATGATCACGCAGACTCACCCAACTGCTCAACTGCTCCTCGATGGTATATTCCGCATGCATCCTCTGCGTGCGTGATACTTAGCTATGGTACATTGTACAACAGATGCAAGCGTAGATCATCAACGAGGCCTTCCGATCTCGGCTATCCGCACACCCTCCTCATAGAACAATCGAATCTCAGAGTTTTGCGTGTTCCAAGACATAGGTGGACGTCTCCCTCGCCTTAACTTTGTCGACGTCTTTCCGCGTGATAGACTTACACTCATGCGCATGGTTATAGCCCAACCTACATGATAGCATTCGATTTATTAGTTTAATACCATCCGTCACGAGGACAATGTACTCACCTCTGTCTACCGTCGGTCCCTCCCTCCTTGTAGAATTCTGGTCGCCGGAGCAAACTAACAACGACTGCCCCGCCGATACCGATGTTATGCACCATGCCATACTTGCCTCGCTTGTCCTGGACGTCGAACAGACCCGGCGCCTGCATGGGCCCTGCCCCTACATGCAAGAGTCCCCTGTTGAGAACGAGTAGGCTTATACGCAGAGACCTGCTTACAGTTACGCAGTTGCACTACGGAAACAATCGTCATGAATATTGCCGATATCCTCCAGAAATAGCTTAGAGCTTACTGGTGATGTAGAAATGCATCCCAAGCCCCGTCGCTCCCAGTGGGTGACCCTTGGCTTCCAAACCGCCACTAGGATTGACAACCCATTTGCCGCCGTACTACATACGAGTCAGAATCCGTCGAACCGTCGAGACATTCTTAGTCCTACCGTATTGTCTCCGCGCTCTACAAGCTTGTGTGCTTCCCCGGTCGTACAAAGCCGCAAGGCGTCATATGTTATAAGCTTGTCAACCCATCGACGTCAGCCTGAGCCCTTGCGGCTTTAAGCCTCAATCGTAAAAACAGGCTTACCTCGTTCGAGGCAAAGCAATCGTGGACTTCAATTACTCCCACCTGGTCCCTGCCTTCGCCCACCCCGAAGCCGGCTTGCTGGAAGGCCTTGTCTGCGCAGGCTCTAGTCATGCCGAAGCCGATAACGTCCATGGCGCTTCTGGTATCAAAGGCTGTGGGGTAGTCGGTGGTGAGTGCCTGCCCGACGATTTCAATCGCCTGGTTCTCCAATCCGTGCTTGTGGACGAAGTCTTCAGATGCTACAATGCAACAAGCAGCACCGTCCTGTCAAGTGGGTGAGATGCACCTTAGCATGCACGGCGACTTATGCGCGAGACAAACGTACAGACGTCGGACTGCACATTAGTTTCGTTAGCTGCTTCGTGATCTTGGGGGCCTGTAGCACCTGTTCTTTCGTCCATCCATTCCTGAACTGTGCATACGGATTATTCGTAGAGTGCTTGTGATTCTTTGCCGCTTCACAGGATGCACGTTAACGTACGGGCCATACATGACTCTATACAGACACACTCACCGATCTGAGCCAAATGGTCAATATTGGCTCCATACTTATCAAAATACTCCTGGCCAGCATTCGCAAACATCCTCGGTGCGCCAGGCCCAAAGTTCGCGCCAGCACTCATGCCCTCCTCGAGCTCCTGCGACCTCTGATTGAACAGCACTGTCGGGGATTCACGGTCCTTGTACACCGTGCCCAGGCTACCCGGGTTCATCCGCTCGAACCCGAGGGCGAGGGCGCACTCGACGAGGCCACCCTTGACCAGGTTATTCGCCTGGAAGAGGGCGGTGCTGCCGGTGGAACAATTGTTGTTCACGTTCGCGATGGGGATGCCGGTCATCCCGAGAGGGTAGAGTGCGCTCTGTGGGCGATCAGCATGACATAGGACTTCGAGGCATGTCTGCCTTCCTTGTGCATACCTGACCAGCGGTAGAATCGCCGTATACGTACCCTACGAAGGCGGCTTCGACAGCATCATATGTAATACCTATAGCACGGATTCAACGGCCAGCGAGACGGGCGGCCTTTGAATGACCGGTCCTTCAACACTTACCGGCGTCAAGCAGCGCTTTCGTGGCAGCTTCCAAGCCCATCTGCATCATAAGAATTAGCCTTCGCCGTATCGCACGGAAGATCAACTTGCTTCATTCGTGGTCCTCAAACCACGGGGCTGCAAACTATAAATCAGGGAGGCACAAAGTTGTCGATACGGACGGTTCTCTACCTTAATGAAAGCCGTGCATCCTACTCCAATAATGAACGATCGCCGTCCCATCGTCTCCTTCAGACAAACAAAATCGAGAATCCAGCGGGAGGAGACAAGGAGGAATGCAAGCTCGGCTATCGTATAACCGGTGTCTTACCCCAGATGATCGAGCGCTTACAGACACCGAGTGCGGGGTAAAAGGCGGTGAACAACACATGGCTGGGTAGCAGCTCAGAGCAGGGCAATGGATGCCAAAAAAGCAACCAAGAGGGGTCACAGTATACATACAGGGAAGGGCGCATAAACGACAGTAATGAAATCGACCATTCCAGTAGAAAACAGTACCACCATTCACTCCTCGTCCTCCTCGGAATCATCGTCCTCTGCCTCTTCCAACCATTTCAAGAACGGCTCGCTCGCCTTGCGGACCTTCTTACTGATGTCCTTGTCAACATACTTCTTGCTGACGTGCGTACCCCACTGGGTAACGACTTCCTCCTCGATGATGTCCGCTTGGTACAACTCCATGAGGATCTTGGGTACCGCAGGAATCAGGTCAGGCTGGTCGACGCCGACGAAGCGCTCGATGCCGCCCAAGAGGGACTTCTGGTGCTTCTCGGACGTCACCATCTGCATCATGCCATTAGTATCCGGTGCTTCACAAGAGCGCAGTGATCTCACCTTCACAAACATGGGGATGTACGTCGGTAGCTCCTTCAGGATATCGGCAGTGAAGAGGGTCTGGGCAAGAACCTGAACAGTCTTGTGCTTCTTCTCAATACCGAGGTCCTGGGCCTTCTTGTAGACCTGTACAGGCCCGGCATCCCTATTCTCCTTCGCCCAATTCCCAAGCTGAGAGTAGGGGTTATCAGCACCCTCGTCACTCTCGTCATCGCCGGCGGCTAATACGGCGTTGGCCATGCTGGCCTCCAGAGCTTTCATACGCTCTTTCACAGCAGCCTCTGACGTGTCGACAGACCAATCCTCGTCCTTGATGGCGGCTGCGTCGGCATCGAGCTCCGCCGCCTCGGCCTTGATACGCTTAGTCAACTCGTCGTCGCTCTCTGCGCCTACCTCGCCGTCACCCTCGGCATGACCATTGGTCTCTGCCTCGTTATTGGGGGTAGGGCTGTCCGACGACGCCTTCTTCTTGCTCTTCTTCGGGTTCTTGGGTGGGTTCTTCAAGATGAACGTAGTGAGCTTATGGCGCATGTCGACGCCGCTGCGCTCGCCGCAGGCCTTGCAGTCGCGGATGATGTCGTCGTTCTTGGTGATGATGAGGTTCGTCTCGGGGTTCTTGCACGCCTTGCACAGCACGAACTTGTCGATGAAGGCGTCCAGGAGCTCGCGCAGCTTGGCGGCGTCGTGGGCGCCGTTGACAATGTAGCGGTCGGACTTCTCGTCGAACGACGTCTGGGCGCCTAGTTCGCAACCGAAGAACTTGGTGGGGTACGAGGGAGGGCGACTCAGTGCACGGGCGACGTCGGACATGTTCGGGATGACGGTCTTGATACCATTGCCTTTGCCCTCGATCTTGGTCATGAGCAGGGGCATGCTACGAGAACGTCAGCATGTGCAGGAAGGAGGGTAATCATGCCTCTTACCGGTAGCGGTAGAACTTGTCATCGACATCGCGACGAATGTTGACAATGGTAGCCATATTGGGCGAATTTTAGCGCTGCAAGACAGTCAATATACCGAACGGCATCTTCTCCAGCAGCATAGCAGACACTCACAGTACTGATCAGTGGATTACGGTGGAACAAGTGTTCGTCCTTCGGTATAGCGGATGAAGTTCGAAGCATGAATCCTCTGCTGTTGCAGTGGACGCGGGCTGTATGACAAGTGTAGGGCGAAATGGTGGACAGAGTCAGGACTGACAGCGACGGCGGCGGCGAGGCAGGGGGCGGCGAAGGTGGTGGTAGCGGTGAAAGAGCGAAATTTTGGCTGAGGCGCATTTGAGTGGGCGCACGGCTGTGACCGGCTTTACGCTGACCAAGCGAGGCCTCCCACACTGCGTAACGCCCTCGGCCAACGTTTCTCCCTATTATTATCCCCTGCTCAGCACGATGCGTCCGGTGGTAAGGTACGACGACATTGCGGGCGATGCGCGCGCGCCCGAGCCGTCTGGCAGCGCGCCCGCGAGGAAGCGCACGAAGACTCAGGCGAGCGAAACGTTCGGACATTCCCAGAAGTCTGTCCAGCACTGGGATGACCCTGGTACCACTTCGCAGGCCATGAACTACGATGAAGAGGACGCCCCCGATACCCAGGATGGTTTCGAGGAGAGCCGGCAGCTGACGCACGAGGAGATATGGGACGACTCTGCGTTGGTGGACGCATGGAATGCTGCGAACGAGGAATATGAGGTGCGCAGCCTTTGCTCCCTCTGTTGTGCATACTGAATGATCCTTCTCGAAGGCTTTGAATGGCCCCGACAAAAGCTGGAAGAAGGATCCTGTATTCAAATCGCCCTTGTGCGTATGCGTGATTCAATATATTTGTTGTACACCGCTCACGCTCGTGTTAGGTGGTACAACACACCCGCTATCCAAAAGACCCCACAAGCAGGGCCGTCATCTCCTAATAAAAGGACGAAGACTAAGACAGCACCAGCAGATGACTCTCAGCCTCTAAACTTTGAAAATTTTGTCCCCAACCACGACCCCTCATTAGCTGCCAATGGGGCGGGCCCAACCTACGCGTCGCCAGGAATAGTAGGGCAGGACGAAGCCTTCACTCGGGCTGTTGAAGCATCATACTGGTCAGGATACTGGACAGCTGTTTACCATGTGCGTGTCAGCCTCGAGGCGTCATTGGGAGTCGGAACTGACGTTGCACCACAGTACCACCGACATATGCCCACGGGCAGAAACACAGAAGGTGAGGACGAACAAGAAGAGGTAACCGCAGAGGTAGAAGATGGAATGGTTGCAGAGGAGGACGGGGATGACATGATATCAACTCAAAGGTGACAATGGCTCCTGATCTCTGTGTTTTGCTCGATCTCCCGTAAGACGTGTCTACTGTACAAATGTCAGTAAAATCCGAAACTTCGCGCGTCCGCTGCGTGTATCTGCCGCAATATGATCGTTTTCAAATCTCCAAGCGTGCGCGGGTGCCGCTATATACTTGTCAATCCGTCGTTGAGTTTCATTCAGAATTTGTGGCATCCGCCACCAAGTCACGTGGTCGCGTCTGCAACACGCGCGCTGCATTTGTCTCAAGTCTGCACCGAGCCTGGTTGTGGCCACTCCTGCTTTACTCCTCCCAGCCATGGCAGACTTGTCCGCGCTACTGACCTCTTCCAAAGCGCTGACATCGCATCTTTCAAAGCCCGATCTGCCCTCCATCAACCTTTCTCTCGACCAAATTGAAGCACAGTCGCGACGGCTAGTCTCGAAAAGACCGCGGACGGGAGACAACGATCGAGCGTAAGTGACAGAGAAATAAGGCTATATACTCCATTTAATATACCCCCATAGGAATTATCTGCTCGCTCAGGCCCACGTCGATGCCCCCGCCCTCGCCAGCTCCATCGCCCACCTGAACACCGCGAACACCTTTTCCCCCCTCCAAGCCCTCCAAGACACCGATGTTCTCGGCTACCTGCGCCACGCGCACGAGCAGAACATTATCAGCACCATTGAGGAGGGCCGGAGGCAGACACAGGAGGAGTTCTACCGCGTCCTCGAGGAGCGCGCGAAGCGCGACTGGGAGGCGAAGAAGAAGCGCGTGTTTGAGGAGCTCGGGGGACGGTTCGGCGGGGACATGATGGCACTCAGCGTGCTGGACAAGAAGAAGGGTGTGCTTGGGAGGAGTATGGCAGCGGTGAGTGGTGCTGGTTATGGACTGGGTTATGGAGAATATGCTAACGGGTTGAGCAGGGCGGGACTGGTGGGCCGGGGTTCAGCGCGCATATGCAATCGAAGATGATGGCGTACGACCATGTCATTGGCGACATGAACGCTTCCCGACTGCGCGGAATATCCTACCCTATCATACACGCTCTCCGGAACGCGACAGAATCTGTAAACGGAGACGTAGGTCGTAACTATCTACGCAACTGTCCTTGACTAAAATGCAGTTGATAGTCCACCTCGCACGCCATGATCGAAAACTGCGAGCTCCTCTGCAAAATCACCCAAGAGCCGCCGACGCTCCCGCCCCCCGAGCACGCCGGCGCGCACATCCTCAACACGCCGCTCTTCGAGCGCAAATACGCCAGGGTATACCTCGGCGACCCCGAGTCGCGCGAGGCGATCGCCCTGCGTAAGCAAATCGCGCGCGGCGCGATGGAGGCGCTGGAGGAGCAGTACTGGGACGTCGTCGAGCGCACGATCGCGTCGCGCCCGATGGAGGCGCGCCTCGGGGGCGACCCGAGCGTGTCAAATAAGATCCGCGCGTATTTGCTGGTAAGGTATTATCGCGGCGGGGAGTGGGAGGAGCGGATTGAGGTGCGTGAAACCCACGTGTGACTGTCGACGCGGGTTGGGATTGAGGTGCTGGTATATAGCTGGTATCGGGGCAACCGCTGTGGGCGAAGCTGTTCTTCCTGGTACGGACGGGTCATGCCAAGGAAGCTTTGAAGGAGGTGGAGCAGTACCAGGCGCTAGTCGACCGCCACGAAACCAGTTTCATCAGCCACTTTCGAGCTTGGGTTGAATCACCGGACCAGAGGTATGTTGCGACTTCTTTGTCGATGCCAGGGACTCCTGTTGAACTCCGCCGCTACGCTGGATCAGCCTGCCGAAGCCTCACCGAGATCACCTTCAGTCTGTGTACAACGCACATATGCTGCACAGCACGAGCGATCCGTTCAAACTCGCTCTCTACAAACTCATGGGTAAACTCGACCCGTCGCGACGACACGTCCCGCTCGTCACGACTACTACGGAAGACTGGCTGTGGTTCCAGCTGGCCATGGTCTGTCCTTTCATTGAGCCTGTCATCATGTATTATTGACAGCAAAACTTTTAGCTTGACGAGGAAGAGAACGGTGGCTTACGAACGCTCGCAGATGTCCTGCTAGGGTACGGTGAGAAGCAATTCGAGCCCCTGGTAGAGGGGCGACCCGCCAAGCGGGGAGTTTGGGCGGGCGTTCTGCTCATGGTCGGCGAATTCGAGAGGGTACATTTTCAACTTACTCCTGTCTCTCGTGGAGTATTGGTGCTGACTGGAGGTCTCAGGCTGTCGCGGCCCTCTGGGACCACGAAGAAACGGAGATAGAGGCGGTACATCTGGCAATCGCACTAGCTTACCATGGGTTACTTCGTGTGCCCCCTCGTGCAGAGACGTCAGACACCACTCCGCGTACGTCTGGGCTTATCCATTACATGAAACGAATCTAACGCACGGACATACCATACCTAGTTGTCGTCGCGCCCTTGTCGCCACCCGCCCTCAGCCTCTCGACCCTGATATGGCGCTACGTGCGGCAGTTCGTCAAGATGGACGCGAAGGAGGCGCTGCAGTACATCTACTGCGTGTGCTTGAGCTCGGATCAGGGCGATGGTGTCGGCAGGGAGCAGCTCGAGATCGCGTGGGACCTCGTACGCCGGACAATCTCGCTCGCGAACTCTGGGGCCGCATGGGAGGCGCTGGTTGGTGGCTTCCGGCCAGACGGGACGAGATTCGTGAGTGCTGTCTTGAGCATTGTACGCGATGTTATACGTCTGCTAATGGGCAATGCAGACCGGCCTTATCGAGCAAGGCCGCTCGCTCCTGTATCTGGATAACAACAAGGACTTCAACGAACACATCCTCGTACGCGCCGCGCGCCAGGCAGAGGAGAATGACCAGATCGCGGAGGCGATCAAGCTGTACAACCTCGCGAGCGACTACAATACCGTCGTGTCGTGCCTCGCGCAGGCGCTGGGTAGCAGCCTGTCGCAGCTGAACGAGAGCGAGGCGGGAAGGAATCTGGAGAAGAGCGCGAGGGAGATCTTGAGGCATTACGAGCGGACGAATAAGGCGGCGGGACGGGATCGCGATGCTGTGGTTCGACTACTGGCGATACGCGAGGCCATGAACGCGAAGGAAGCCGGTAGGCCTGAGCAAGCTCTCGAGGTGAGTCGACTGTATTCGTATTACGTTGACTATCTCATGCCTCTGGTAGATTATGGAGTCTCTGGAGCTTGTTCCCTTGGACGGGGACGTCGCGAAGATCACCAAGCGGGCGGAAGAGTTCAAGGACTTGCACGAAGCCCTACAGCGGAACCTGCACACGTACCTTGTTCTCGTCATGGACGCACTAGCCGCCGTGCACCGAAAGGTAAAGGATTCCGGCCAGCCGGATGCCACCAAAAAAATGGTCAGCTTCACTGTCATTGTCTTGTGCTGTTCCTTGATTAATGACGACGTTGGACAGCAATTGTCTACGTTGCGGAAGAAATCGAGATCCCTGATTATGTTTGCGGGGATGCTAAAATACCGGATGTCCCCGGACGTGTACTCATACCTCTCGAGAGTGGATGTCGAGGTTGCATTGTGATGTATCATCGTTTCATGTATATACTGTTTTCTAGGACGTCCATGCCAGCGCGCTCAGCCCTCGGTGGCGGCTACTCCGTACGCTTGCGGGCCACGGGCCGGGGGCTTTGTGGCGTTCCCGATCGTAAACAAGGCTTTGTCGTGGAACTCGAATACATGATGCCTGTGCTGCGCCCTGCAAGTCTGTGAACCCGGTTGTACGTCTTCGGCTACAGCGTAAAGTGCCTTAGGACTCCGTGTCCTACTGCGCGTGTCAAGCAGCTTTGACGGCAGCTTTATATCAACCCTACTCCGGTCTTGTTACACACTCTATGGCTAGGTTCAGGAAATACCGCCGTTCTCAACCAAAGAAGGGGTCCTTTGACCCTGATGACGAGACCACAGTGAAGCATACAAAGCTGGGGATATGGGATCTGTACGAGGAGATCGACTCGGGCCACGAGACATATATCCCAGTGCCTCCGAAGCTGGAGGAATACTGGCAGTACGCGGAGAGTCTTCCGTATGTCTGGCATATGATGAAAGATATCCTGGCCCTTGAGAATTGTCGAGTGCTACTCATTCTCTTGGGAATGCTTCAGGTCTCGCAGTCACTTCTTCCGGCCCTTTCGTTGTGGTAAGCACTCTCTTCCTGCTCTGTACACCCTGGGCTGATGGTGGGACGTGTTGCGGAGGTTTTCATCCCAATTACTGACTATTGTACGTACATCCCAATATGCGTCCAAAGTGCTGCTGACGTGTCGGGATCTTAGGTACAAGTCGCGGTAGACACTAGGGCGGTGGACAAACAATTCCTGCTGCGCATCGCGGCAGGGCGCATCGCATGCGCAATCGCCATTCGCGTCCTGTCGCACTACAAAACTATTATCACCTCCCCCCTCCAGCGGCGCATCAAGCAGTTCTACTCCCTGCACATCTTCCACGCCATGGCGCGCCTCGACGTGCCCACGTTCGAGGACACCGCCGTCCAGCGGCAGCTCGAGGCAACGTACACGCGCTTTGGCAGCAGCGTCGCGTGGGAGGTCATCCAAACGTTGTTCAGCGTCGCCACTGTCGCGGTGCAGCTGGTATCCCAGGTCTCGGTGCTCGTCGCGGTCATGCACGGGCAGGCGGAGGGCCCGCTGATTTCGAGTCTCGCATTGCTGCAGACGGTCTTCGAGTACATGAGTATGAAGAGGATGATTGTGCAGCCCGGCAACAGGAAGTACCGTCTTTGTCGAGTGCCGTTGCTGGTTCTGAGACTCCGTGAATGAAACAGTGTGGGCCGCAACGACCAAGAACGAAGACTATATTCGGATGGAAGGCATGAAGCGCGTAGTGAACGACAATGAGCACCGCAAGGAGCTCGTGGCGGGGAACCTAGCTGAGTACCTTACTGACCGTGAGTGACCAAGGCATGTGCAGACGCTGTAAGTCAAGATGAATTAATATTGGGTGAGTAGAGTACCGACGTCTAGCGAAGAAAGTGGGCGACAACGCCATGGATTTCAACGAGACGAAGCGCATGTACGAGAACCGTCTCCGCATGAACGCGTCCGCGGTGTTGCAAGTAATCCTCCGCGAGCTCCCGCTGGTGAGTACCGGCCTTCTGCTTCACCTCCTTGCTTCATGACCCCGTCTTCCCACGCAGATTGCGTTCAGCCTGCGCGCTGTGCAATATCCCGCCTCCATCCCCCTTTCCCTCGCCTCCCTCAACCTCATCCGCGAGACAGTGTCCAACTTCTCCTACGGCCTGCTCGACTTCGTCGACGCGACCGGCTCGATCGGGCAGCAGCTGTCCGACATACGCAAGCTGTACGAAGTAGATGCCATCCCGAATAAGGTGCCAGACGGCTCCGAGCCATTCCCAGAGAATGACAAGACGCTCGAATCCGGGGTGTCTGTCGAATTCAGGTGCGCATTGGCTGAGTGTGGTCAGCATTACTCCGGCCTCAATTTTGTCTGTGCATGCAAGGAATGTCTCTTTCAAATATCCAGGGTCCGACAAATTTGCCCTGCGCCATGTTTCGTTCTACATCGGGCCCGGCCAACTTTGTGTATGACGCTTCGTTCAGGTCTATCTCTGATCAGTACCTAAACATCTAAACAGGTCATCGTCGGGTCAAACGGTTCCGGTAAAAGTACAATCCTAAAACTGATCTCCCGTATCTACGACCCAGTCGAAGGCGAGATCCTAATTGATGGCCGAGACATAAAGACGCTGCTCTTAGCAGATCTCCGCCGACGCATCTCCGTGCTCTTCCAGGACTACACGCACTTCCCGCTCTCCGTGCGTCGCCTACCAGTCCCTCCCCTCCCTCGCGCATCTCATTATTATGACCACACAGATCAAGGAGAACATCGCTCTAGGTAACCCAGAACTGGCACACGACGAGGACAAGATCAGAGAAGCCGCTCGGCTCGGCGGTGCGGAAGAGTTCATCAAAGAGCTCCCAGAGGGCATGGATACCTACCTCACCCGCCCCGTCCGCGATTACTACGCACCCCTGCCAGAGGGCACGAAGACTCTATTCGGGCGCTCCGTGGACTACACTCGCTTACGAGGCATGGGCCGTATGAAGCCGCGAGATTCTTTCCCACTTAGTGGTGGTCAAATGCAGAGGCTGGCTGTGTGAGTGACGCCGCGAGTGTCTATCTCTACTACGACGTTGACCGGACAGGACATGGGGTGGTACAGATCTCGGACGTTCATGAGGTCTTTGCTTTCCGAAGCCTCCGATACAGGAGTAGGCTTGCTGCTCTTTGATGAGCCAAGCGCATCTCTAGACCCAACCGCGGAGCACGGTAAGGAGCTGCGTGTACGATTTATGGTTCTGAGGATCTCACGTATCCTTAGATTTGTTCGAGCGGCTTCGACAATTACGAGGGCACAAGACTATGCTGTTCTCCTCTCATCGCTTCGGGAATCTGACGCGTCACGCCGATATTCTCTTGTAAGTCTGAACATGCTCCGTCATGCAATATATTCACATATGTGGTAGGTACATTAATGACTCCTCCATCAAAGAGGCTGGCACACATGAAGAATTGTTAAAGAGAGACGGCGAATATGCCCGAATCTGGAACTTGCAGGCTCAAGCATTCCTATCTTGAAGATGCAATATGGCCTCTAGACGTGGATGTAGACAGCCATAGAAGAACCAGTTTAGTCGCAGGTCTCAGAGTCGTCGTCTTGCAACCTCGGAAGAGGTTTCTTCGGCTGATGTTTCGCCTGCGCGAAACCCTTCAGTCCCAGTTCTAGGTCCAGCCGTATCTGATGCGTGATGTTCGACGGAAGGAGGGCAATATCATGTACAAGTCGATCTAATTTCGACGCCTGCGCTGCTAGGTTGTTGGAATCCCGAGCGTTGTGGAAGCCTGAACTAGGCTGTAATAGCTTCTGTAGACCGATAGCTTCTTTGAGAAGCTTGCTATAGGAGACCGTTATTGATCTTAACCCAATCAATCTCATGTCTGACTTACTTGATCTTAGTGAGGAGTTCGCCAGCGTCTTCCAGATCTTCGTGTTGAGCCTCCTTCCACTTTTTCTTCGCCTTTTCCTTGGATATGCTAGCAAACGAGTGTACGAGCTCCAAGCAAACTAGGATGTGCACTAGTGGGCCAAGATATAGATGACGATAGCGTCTGTTTGTTTCCGGTATACTCTCCGAATACTTGCAGCATTCTTCCCAGAACCGTAGCCGTATCCCTTGCAGCCCAGGGTGAGACCTCGATCGTTGGCGCCGTTGGAACCGTCGGTAGCTTGATTGAATAATCTGTGCAGCTCGCATTTGTTCCTCGGAATGAAGCAGTACAGGGACAGCGCTGTCAGTCCCAATATGGTCTTCCGCACTCTCCTCTATGTGGTCGGGTTGGATGTCTTCTCTTGGCAGCGAAAGACTCAGTTCTTGGTCAGATGTACCAGTAGTATCCAGGGAGACTCCAGAAGTCCGCGCCTTTTTGGAGTGAGAACCAACTGTAATGAGATAGGGGATGTCCTTGATTGTCTTGAAGGGCACCCGGCGGACATTCGAAGGATCTCTAGGAACGATTGACACCTTTTTCAAGTCATGCATCTGGATCAACTCATCCTGCCCCGTGGCTCCCGCTCTCGACGGGTATCGAAGTGCTAAAGCAAGGTCAGACCAACTGCGGGCAATCACATACCTAAAGGTCACATCCGAGGATTAGCTCCGAATAGCGCAGGGTGTTGTAATAATTGCTCACTTATTGCAAAGGGCCAGCAATTGAGGATTCAGTCTGCGCATAGAGCAAATCGTTTGATGGATCTGGTCCCGCACGTTCCAGTCCAGTAGATTGTCACCGACTTGTTATCGTTAGAGAGAGCACAGCAAGAGACGAGCATGACTCACGTAAACAAATACATCTGCAACTGAGAAAGCGTGATCAGAATTCGCGACAGGGAAGATATTCACTTACAGTCTGGCGACCAGAGCTCCTCGCATTGGCATCCCAAGTTTCGATATACTCCGACCCTCAAACAGGAGAGCCGCTGAAGGCCATATTTCGTCAGAGTCCTGAGTATTAGTGCATTGGAAGACGAATATACTCACATCTAGAGTTCACGGCACAGTCCATGAGAAGGTCTGTCATGGCCTTCACAAAGGTTAATAAATGACTCGCGTCCTTCGAGCACAATGTCTCTAGCGAGCTAGAGAGCTCCAAGATCCAATTCCGCGGCAGGCAGATGCCGTGGAAAGTCCCGCTGCGCTGATAATTTCGGCATAGGACCAGCGAGCCGCAAAGACGTTCTGTCAAGTTGAACAGAACATTGACGTCTATGGGTATGGAGGCTAGAAGTATATGACTTGCTGCTAGTCAGTGGTTTGACGGGTGACAAGGCCACAACTACCTACCGGACGAAGAAGACACCAGTAGAAAGTGAATGCGCATGGCTGCCGTCTAAGAAGTGGAGGAGGTGGATCAGGGAGGCGTAATATTCCGGGGCTTCTCCTGCGAGCGATCGGAATGAAGCAACGTAGGGTGAACGGACGACATACTCCCGAGCGCTCTGGCCGTCTATGGCAAAAGCAAGGTTGGCAGCCGCCAGCAAGCTAGCGAATTGCGCGGACCGGGTGTCGGGAGACTTTGATGAGTAGAAGCAGCTACGTAACCAATGCTTAGTTATCTGAAGACCTCTTTCAGCCTCCGGAATGCGCCAGAGTTCCAGATCAGGTAGACTGCCTAGAAGAGGGTGGGACGGACAAAGCGCCTCGTATAATTCCGTGAGCCAATACCTGCACATCTCGCTGTGATCAGACGGGCTGTGAACAAAATTGAACCCCTCACCTCTGACGAGTCTCCGCTTCCTGACCCAGGCCTGCAAAATCCAAGGTCTGAAATACGGAAATCTGCTGCAGATGAAGTCTAACCCGAAGGTTATAATACTCTATCGTCAGCTTTCCATGAGTGACATGATCCCGGGGGCAAGACGCTTCGGTTTTACAAACGCCGAGGGCTACGAAAGGGAGGCACGGTCTGAAAGCTCTGGCCTCCCGGCAAAGATCATCTTCCGGTAGAATCACACTTCGCAAATGATCGGACAATGACCGTCTGTAAAGTCTCAGGAACTCCGAATGAGACAAAGAGATTCCCTTATCATCGGAACGGATGACGAGAGTCCTGCTTCGGGTGCAGACCCGATGCAGGAAGGTCCCAGTCGGCATGAAGACCTCCTGCTTACTCGGAGTAAGGAAACCGAAGAGCCTCTTGATGGATACACATCCGACGGGATCAGGATGAAGAGCAAATTCCCGGATCAAGTGGACATAGATCAAGAAGTTCTGCAACATTTGGGCGACGTCCGGTGCGGAGGCGTTACGAAGCTCTGTGGGCGACACGAATGCATGGTTGAAGCATAGTAATGCCGACGCTTTGTCGTTGTCAGAGTGAAGTCTTTGCCCCAGTTGCTGTAACTTCGCCTTGTCTCCGCTCACGATAGTTTTGAACATATATATCTGGGGAGAATTGCAGCAGTAGGCACCATAGTGGAAGATTACGCTCACCTCGTCGCGGTTAGTGCGCCGAACGACCGCGGGATCAATCTGCATGGCCCACTGCAAGAGCATCTTCGTCGGAATAGCGACAGAATGTTCAGTCTCATTGGAGCGCCCGAACGACAAGTTCTGCCACAGGCAGTCTACCAAGCACTGCTTCGCGCGGTGCGCAGCCCTTTCATCCGTTCGTTCACGGAGGAACGTTCCAATTGCATCAGCGACACGACCTTCAGAGAGATGTAGCTCAGCAGCTTCGGCATATCTCCCCATCCTTTCAAGGAGACTGGCACGGGCATCGTCGAACCCATAGTTCTCCATGAAATCCAGGCTTTCGTCCGAACTAGGAAAGAGCTTCACGGCTTCCCTACGACTCATCGTGAGGAGAGATAACCTGAAAGACGTAAGGGCACGCACTCGTGGTTTCGCCTCTGGAAATAGTACAGGCGGGCAGCATGAAGAATTCGTTGATACGCTTGATTCTCAATACGATGGTTTTGTATGATGGCGACGGCCTCGTTGAACATCCCAGCCTGCCTGAATCCTTGCGCAGCGGAGGTGTACTCCTTCGCGCTGAGAAATGCCTGTGCTGCCTTTTCTACGTCATCCCCTTGCAGATAGCAATGAGCAGCAATCTTGTAGTAGGCATGCTTGGTCGCATCCTTGCCGGCTGCCTCCGCTACGTAGACAAAAGCTTCAGCAGCTTCGTTAAAGGCCCCATGGCGCCGAGATGCACTCTCGGACCGTGCTTGATCGCGCAGATAAAATGCGTGAGCGACAGCGGTCTCTCGCACCATACCAGCTCTCTTGAAGCAGTGCATAGCCTGGAAATATCGCTTATTCTCGAAGAGACTTCTGCCAGATTTAGACCACTCTTCTGGTGTCGAAGCTACTGCAAGCTGAGGCAAGTGCATATCCGCTGAATAGATCTCTATTAAGTCGTGGCTATTCCAGAAGACCTAGACATTGTTCAGCAATTTTTTATGTTCAAACAGTAGGAAGTCTCACTTTCATTGGTTCAGCCTTGAGTGACGGATCGAATATCCACAGGTTATTTCGAGCTCGAGTAATGGCCACATATAGGAACTTCAACTGATGAAGAAATTCTAGCATCCGTCAAGATCCGCTGCGATCGAGCACGTACTTCACTGCAGACACCAGCATGTTTGACTTCGTCGAACAATGGAGCACTGACGGGTATGGCATGCCGAGCTGAGGCACCGTTGAGGACCAAGCGCCATTGGGAAACATCCAATGCAGAGTCGTCGAAGAATTTGTACAAGAGGACCTAGGATGAGTCAGAACATGCCATAAGATGGAACGGACTATGCACACATCGTCGAATTCTAAGCCCTTACTCTCGTACAGGGTCCTACGCGATGTCAGTATCTCATTCGACGGGCAACTAATGCAACGCACAGAATTAATCCAATCTCCCCCACTTGCGCTCGCAACGCTTCCCGGGCAGCCTCGTTACGGACGAGTATACCTGAGTGTGCACTGTTAGTTCATGGAGATACCGATGCCGTGTCCTGACTAACACTGGCGCGCTCCGAACTCTATTCGGGATTTCCTGAGGACATCCTTTGAGTATCAAGACAATATTGAGTCGATGGGTATAGTACTCACGAGTCGCCGAAAAGGAATTGCTCGTATCGCAAGGTGTCCTTCGCCCAGCTGCCGAAGAACACAGGTTTCAGGCCATCCACGACGCCTTTCTCTTCATCCATGGCATCGATGCTGTATGGCCAGAAGCTAGTCAAAAGAGTCACGATGGAATGGGCACATCGCACGATGCCCCCGTGCGAGCGGTAGTTCGTAGTAAGTTGGAACGTTCGAGGTTGTGTCTGTCCCTGGCGATCAGCGGATAAAACTGTATTCATCTGCTGACGCCGCGAATTAGTACAGTCTCCAATTTAGGCCCTCAGGAATTTACCTCAACCCTCCACAAGAACGCCTTCAGGTCATCGAATCTAAATGAGCTTCCGACTGAGATGGTTTGGGCAGAGTCGCCAGCCCAAAATAACCCATGAGGATTCTTGCATAGCGACCTTAGCACTAGGGCTTCGTCAACTCTTCCAACACATTGTCATGAATACTAATGGTACTTACAGTACGCATCGATCAAGTGATTATCTTGCACTTCATCCACATATCTGGAAACCTAGTCAGCCTAGGGAGTGATCGAGAAGCCGCCATTTTTCTTACAAAAAATCGACTTGTTGGGCAAGCAGCAACTCGTTCTGCCCGAGCGAGCGCAGCAAGTGGTGCGTCCTGCATATCCCATCAGTCGAAGCACGGAGCCAGCACCACGTGCCATACCTGTCTACCGTGTCCGTCTGTCTCCTTTCCTGCCTTCGCTTCTGGTACGACTCGAAGAGCCTGTAGACCCGATCCCGCTGACTCGCGAAGGTTGAATGGCAGCGGCGACTCAACGACAAATACGACTGCCGGTCGAGACAAGATGCAGATTGGTGGAGGGTATGTTCAGACCCTTTGATTACGCCTACGCATAGAAGGTGAATTGGTCCGACGCCGCGGACTATTGTTAGCGAATACTCACCCATGATCTCACTGAAGACAAGCGAAGGATCTGGTGATAATCAACACGGGATATCCTCGTTTCAGCGTACTTTGGACGCACCGAGACCCTTAGTCAGAAATGCAGGCAAGTGAGGCCAGTATGATTCCAAGAAGACTTCGTATGTTACTGGCGTGTTCCGAGTTTGAATACTGAGACTCTTCCGCCGTCCGGCACTGGCACGCCCCCGATCCTCGTTAATGGGAGCGGGAAGGAAAGAACCTACGTCTTCCTCGAGCATCCTGCAAAGCTATTACCGCAGTAGTCAGTATATAGAGCAGGCGTCATTATACTATACACTTAACCTGATCGAAGGATAGAAAAAGCGGAAAGTGGTCATCCCCAAGCAGACTAAATCGCTTCGGCAGGTCCGATCTCCACTCGTCCTCTTCGTCCGGATCCACCAGAGGGTTCTCCTGGTCCGCTGGATCGGATTCTGGGAGCTCCAGTAGCTGACGAGACGTCTGAGAGGCCATAGCGAGTGACTTCATTAACTTGGAAAAGTATTCTTCCACTCTGCCTGCCAACACGCGCGACCGCGTTACAAAGATCTGGCGAGGTTTGGGCAACGAAGTGCTGCTCAGCTCCCACGACCTCTGTATACCAAGCATCTTGAACAACATGGTCGTGGTTTTGCTGGGTCGCGAAGTCAGACCTAGCTGATAACGCGAAGTTGATAGCTACTGACCCGGTTCCACTTCTTCCGATCACATAACAAGAAGAAGGATGTTCTATTACCTCCCGCTCCTGCGGTCTGCGGTAATAAGCATAAGCGTGTATGTAGGTTACTAAGCAGGCACCCTCTGACTCACGACACTGCGAAGACGTGAGCGACGTCTCGATCGGCCAGTATACCTGGTAAAGATCAGTAAGGTGCCCATGATTAGTAAACGAAACATACTATTGAGAAGAGCCTTAGGTCATGTCAGTCATGGCAGGACTCCGCAAAATTACAATACACACCTGTGATAGCGTGACAAATTTCTCCAAGCTAGGGCACCTTTCAGAAAAATGGTACATCAGCTGGAAGTCATGAGACGTACACAAGAAGGGAATGAATCTGCGGCAACCAACGTTAAATCCGATTCAATGTCAAAGTAGGGTGAACGTACCTCCTGTAAGTACTCGCATGGTATGCGGTAAGTCGGCTCCTCTTGAGCTTGTGGTAGCATCTCTTGCGGAGGGAATGAGGCAGGTGTATACACGTTGTCCCCAGTCACAGCAGGGCGATTGCGAAAAGCACATCTTTAACATGTCAATATGCATTACTTCCATAACGGTCACTTCAACCATACCTGCGCCTGTACTCTCGACCTCTGCTTGAAAGCTGGTGACCGACATAATCCCAAAGCCTGTCGTCCATTTGTGCGTGCGTATATACACCAAATACCTTGATAACTGCATGTCCGATACCACTTTCACATATGATCTGCATGGGCCGTGTTTGTCCTACTCACCTTGCCGCTCCACCTGAAAACGGTACTATTTAACCAAAAGCCATACATCTCAATCAAAGGAGTACTCACATCACTGTCGAACTCGGGAATGCAGTCAATTTGGTACTTCGGTTCGTAGGGTTAGTCATGCAAGCAGAGGATGGGAAATAGCAGCTCGTACTCACCACCAGTCGCAGATCCCTGGACATCTTCGCTTCATAGATAGGCACTTGCAGATTGGGACCTGTAAGCCTCTTCTGGTTATCGCCGGAGAAATGGCCGTTGGACAGCTCCCTATACCCATACGTTAATCGATACAGCCCATATATCTGAGACGAGCGCGCACTTGATTTTCTTGATGATAATACGAAAGGTCTTTGAATCCTTTCTGCGTGCCTCCCGGATATCCGCGTTGGCTCGCGTCGAGATAAGGATGTGCCAGTCGCCGAGACCTTTGGCACTTTCAAAGTAGAGCGCCGCTTTCATAGGTTGTATGATAGGGTATGCGGGCGCATCATCGTCACTAGCTATTTCAGCATTAGCTACCTCGGTATTCATAACCGGACTCGTCGACGCCGACTGCAGCTGAGCTGGTGCACCTGGCACCCCGATGCTCTTCAGGTGTTCGCGTAGCGATGGACGTCGAAGTACATTGAGATAGTACTGTTTATACTGATGAGTTACTTGAACGGGAGATGCAAATAAAACAGACCTGTAGAAGGCCCTTCAGGTCATGAAAGATATCCGCAGCGAGCTTGTCGGCGAGCTGTGGCGACGCAGGGACAGCGACACCCAGATTATTGAACGGCGTAGGATCGACGGGTCCTCTGTTTATTTGCCGGGTCTTCTTCTGCTGCCGTTGAGTCTTCGGTTTTACCCTGACAAACCTGTTGGTCTGGAAGTCAGGATTAGTCTCTTCCTCTTCGGCGTTGTCGACGAAGTTTAGGGTCTGCAGGGCAGCGAGAATCGACCCTGCCAGTTCCACTGCGCGCCGACATTGTGGAAGGTCAATTGGGGTATCGTCCCGGCTAGGATATGGGATAAAGACTAGAGATAGAGACAGTGTCGATACAAATTTCCAAGAGAGGGAGTCTTCGAAGCCTTGACTATGAGTTGGGAATTGATCCAGGAGCATCCCACGAAGAGATGAGTATAGTTTGTCATTAACAGCTGCAAGACGGGAGATCTCAGTGCTCGTATACGTAAAGGTGACGGAAGTGTTGAAGCATACCCGACATGAAGAGATGCAAGAGCGGAGGAACGGAAAGAAGTGCTTCCATGCAGGGCTCGATAGTCTTCCCATCCAAGATGCCCTCGAGCACCTCGACAGTAGCGTCGATGGAATCAGGAGCCCAGCTCTCTGGCTTAAATAAATCGGTGTTGAGAATATCATACGTTCCTATAGTACTTGAGGTGCGTTGCTTCATAATGGATACAGACGGGTATTATGCTGGGATGCTATGCTACACCTTGTAAAGAGTCGGCCGGTAAGAAGACAGAAAAAGAAACCTGGCAAGATGGGATTGCATCGCAACATACTTGCTGGATCCTTGAGTGCTTCTCTCTGTAATTGAGACGCGCCGCGGAGCGCGTTTAGGGGCAATTACCAATAACGTAACTAGTAGCCGAGACGGGTGTCCAGCTCGACCTCGAGACTGACACAGAGAAATACAGAATCGTGGAGGATTTATCGCAGGGAGTTCGCAGCAACAGGGGGTCGTGAGGGTGATGAAGGAAGTTGTGCAGAACGAAAAAGTTGAAGTGGTTGGTGATTATACAAGGGGTATACAAGGCATCCTAATTCGGACTTTGAAATGAAGCATTGACGGTCGGGACACGGCTGGCTGTGCGCGACTGAGTGTAACCAGCGTACTCCATCTATCGCTTGCCGTCGCTGTCCCCTTCGCTGTCTTGTGTCGTCTTGACCAGTGACTTGCAATCCGACTTGAACGACTATGCCGCCCCCGCATTACGACTTCCTCATCAAGGTCAGTGACGACCACAGTGCTGCGTTTACCTGTTCCTGATTCACCGGAGTAGCTCCTGCTTATTGGAGACTCAGGTAATGAGGACATACATCCAGGGGGGCTTCGTTCACGAGCTGTATCCTCATAGGTGTTGGGAAATCATGTCTTCTGCTACGATTCTGTGACGACGCATGGACGCCCTCCTTCATCACGACCATCGGCATTGATTTCAAGATTCGCACCATCGAGCTGGACGGGAAGCGGATAAAGCTGCAGATTGTGAGTGGTGCCATCTATCCGACTGCATAGCTTCATTATTGCTGCAAACAGTGGGATACGGCTGGCCAGGAACGCTTTAGAACGATCACAACAGCATACTACCGGGGTGCCATGGGTATCCTCCTCGTATACGATGTCACGGATGAGCGATCATTCAACAGTGAGTCCCCTCCGTATTGCTCCTAACCAAGATCTCACATACTCTAGACATCCGTACGTGGCACGCCAACATCGAACAGCACGCATCGGAGGGAGTGAACAAGATCCTGATCGGCAACAAATCCGACTGGACAGACAAGCGCGCCGTCACCGAAGAGCAGGGCCGGGAGCTCGCGAACGAGCTGGGTATCAAGTTCATGGAGACGTCGGCCAAAGTCAATGAGGGTGTAGAGGAGGCTTTCTTCACATTAGCGCGGTAAGTCAGATCCCTCGACTTCCCAAGTGCTGCTCCTAACAACAGCTCAGCGACATCAAGACACGGCTGATCGACTCCCAGGCCGATGCAGCTGGGTCGCCTGGCGGTGCGACGGGTGCACAGGGCTCTGTTCAAGTCAACCAGCCCGCCAATACCTCGTCCCCTGGCTGCTGCACGTAGAAGACTCTCTCTGCCTCCGTACATACTGTAGTATAACGCCGGAGTTGGTTCTTGTCGCTTAACCCTCCTGTTCCATTTTATACAACCTAGGCTGCTTGTTTGGTATAGTTTCACTTGTAATACATTTATCACGGACTTAGAGGACTCACTGTGATACCATAGGAAATAGAGCAACGTCGCCCGACCGCCCCACCGCCCGCTTATATCGGGGTGGCTAAGTTCCAATTCCCTCCCCACCATCGCTTTATGCGTTCCCCTCCCCATTCCTCATATTCTCCACGTGTTACACTGACCTTACTCAGTTCAGCTGTCTTCGCAAAGTCTGCCATCCCTCGCCATGCATCGAGACTTCGATCTGACGCTGGCTTTACCTGCAACGGCATTTCAGGAGGCAGAATCGGCCGTAAGGTGCAATGGATCCTTGGCTGTAAACCTGGTAAGCGCGATGGTGACCCCGCCAGGAAAACGTTCTATGTGAATGAATCCGTAAGCTTTCGAATTTTCGGCCTGCGTGTACCACATACCTGGACCATCTTCCCCTTTTCACCATCCGAAAACCGCGCCATAACATTCTGTAAGACTTCACCGAGACCTGCAGAATCTACTCCAGCCATACTCGGGGAGAACCATGTCTCAGGGACGCGCCATCGCTCAACGTTCAGATGCACTCTACTTCTACCTAGCTCCTTGTCAGAATGGATACGGACCAAGCGAATGTCCGCTGAAACTCACCTTCCAGGTCGCCCTCTTCGTACAGCGGCTTGAAAGCTGAGAGCAGCGCAGACCGTTGTGACAGAATCGATGCGTGAGTATGCTCTGTAGTGAAGTTAGGGTCATGAGCAAGCAACTTCTGCTCGATAGCGTGGAGCTGGTTCAGGTCGTCCTCTTCATCAGAGTCCGCTGCTGCAGTGTTCTGCATCTTTGTTTTAGATATCTCTCAGATATATTTCGACATTCACGACTCACTATTTGTCGATAGATCGCCCAGTCCGCGTCGTCCGCGCCAAACATATCCTCTGCGCACTGTCAGATGGACTAACGATACCCACACCTAACATTAGAGCGCACCTCCACCAGCCTTCCGTCGCTTCTTGGGCACACGGTCATCAGCAGCGAGGTTTGCGATGCTCTTCATCCTCGCTTGTGCTGCGGCACTCTTACGGTCGCTGAGCTCAATCTTCTTCCGAGCTCGCCCTTTCATTTTATTGATGAGAGCCTGCAGCGCGTCCAATCAATCGAGAAACACGTCAGCTTGAATACTGCCATCCCATACCTCATGTTCTTTCCGCAGTTTATTTGCCCAAGCTGTGAGATCCCTTTCCCGTTCCTCGTCCTCCATCCGCTCCTCAGCTTCTCTCTCTTCCCTCTCTCGCTCCTTTTCGCGCCGTGCTCTCGCCCGAGCTTCGAAGCCTGCTTTCATGAGCCTTTGCTTCTTCTTCTCCTTTAGACCCTCTTCGTCCAACTTGATAGAATGAGCTAGATCAGTCCAAATACACTACGGGGCAGGACTCACATCAGCATCTGGGACATCGACCAGCGGGAAAGATGGTTCGTCTTCCTGTTCGCTACTTAATATTAGAGGACTGGTTGCGGCAGGCAGACGTACCGCAATCGATTCGTCGTCTTCCGCCTCCTTCTTTTTTGCCTTTTTCAATTCGGCATCTAGTTTCTTGATCGTTGCATCCAGCGCAGCCTCGTTTTCTAATCCCTCCTCTTGAAGCAAGGCCTGCATTATATGGGCAATGTCGCTCGCTGAGCGGTGCACGTCACGTACCATCCACTCCTTCTTATTTTCCTTGTCTCGTCGTTCTTTCAAATTCAACAGCGCCTGTAGATCCACCTCCTTCTGCGCTAACTACCAGCCCGTGTCAGGATGTACTGCGAGGAGATCCAAGCGCTTACCCTTTCCAGCCGATTCCTCGCCGCCATCTCCTGCAACTTCTTCCCTTGCTCCTTACGCTTTTCGGCAATCCTTGCTAGCTCCTCCTCCGTCTTCTCCTCGACCACGGGTACAGTGAAGGGGAACTGTACTATGCGCTCGGACGCCCGAAGCTCAAGGGGGTCCTTCAGCTTCCGCAGCAGCGCCGGGTAGTCAGTAGCAAATTCGCAGAGGTTTTGGAGCATCCACTGCATTGTACTGTACTGAGATAATGAGCTCGGCCAGGACAATATTTGAACGCACGCTGGATTGGACCGTGGTCACTCGCGTCGGGAACGCGGGATATTTCAGCTGTATGAGCTTCAGCAAGTATTCACTGGCCTGGGAAGCTCCCCAAGGTATGCTGATAATTAGTCTGCACATGAGCGCAGGGACGAGTCGGGAGGAATACTCACCGCTGGGCATGGCTCATGATGCTCTGTCCGCCTAGCACAGGCACCACAGATGTCGACGCGGTATTGAACGAAATGACGAGCCCGTCAGCCGTATACTGCCTCTCGGGAGGGGGTAGGTTATTGTGATAGAACGACATCACGGAGTCCACGCAATACGCTAAAGAGGGCACCGAATAGAGCTCAAACATGAGCTCGGACGTCACTACAGGCTCATCTTCAGTACTTCGTTACCCAGGCATATACGGGGGACAACTCACAAGCCCTCGAGTGCAACGGTGAACTTAGCCTCTCTGTCATAAGTACAGGGTGCTCGACCGCAGGGGTGTCAATCCCAAGCTGGACAAACGCATAATCCAACGCATGTTCCTACGCACCGGGTTAACAACCCACCTCGCCAGAACGTGCACATTTGCCTACTCACCAGAGCATCAAAGTTCAAGAGGACATCCCCCTCCCAAGGCGTCCTCGCCTGCGCCCTCGCCCCGCTCTCGCAATCCACGCCCTCCCCAAACAACAATACCGGCTTATTATGCTTGCGCTCCTTATACTTCGCAATCACATTCGGGCCCGTAAACGGCTCGCCCGCGGTTGCCCACCCCCACCGGAGCGTCGTCGCGCCGTTGTCGATTACGAGCGGTGTGCCTTTCCCCCGGTGCTCCTCGTACGACGCGGGCGTCCTTACCACCGGCGGCGGCGCAGGCGTCGGGAGCCGTATGACGTTCGGGGTCGGAGGCACGGTCGACATCGTGGTTGCAGTGCGAGGCCCAGGTCGCACCGGGTACGGAAATACTCACTGCGTCCATTCATCAATACTCAGTCACAGTGCTAAGTACTAGAGCGCGCTAAGTACGATCACCTTGTTTCCTCTTTGGAAATTGGCCATCTTCAGCCACAGACGCGACTGCCCCGATCTGAAGTGCATTATCCAAACTACACTAGAAGCTACAAATACTATGTGCAATAATTACATGTCAGCAAGTGCAATAAAATACGCAATGACAGCGTGGAGAGAGCACATTGAAAGGTTACAATAATAATGATAACAGATGTAGGTATCCCGAGTTCGAATGAATATAGTGCAGAGGTGTCCGGAGGATAGTCTGTTCATCTTCTAGAGCGTGCAGGCCGCGATGAGCTGCGAGATGTATGAAAGCTCTTCACCAGCTCCGCGTACCCCTCGCGATCTACGCGGTGGATATAGTACTGGCCGCCGCCACTCCCCCATGATACGCTGCCCGAGTGATACTTCATTGCGTACACCTTGAAGATCGTGCTCATATCGTCCACCTACGAGTTACCGAGTCAGATCATGGACGCGACGGAAAGTAAAGGAACGGTACGCACGTTGCGTTCCGTCACCCTGCTGTCAACCGGCGCAAACTCCTTCAACGAAACAACAATAGCCCCTTCCTTCAAATCCAGAAACTTCGGTCTGAGAGCCTCGTTCACTGCCCATCAAAGAAGACATGAGCACACGGTCGCATGTCTCACTGCACAAAACATAACTCACATGACTCCTCAAACACCTTATTATTCACAAGCACTACATCCGCCTCCTTCATCAACGCGTCCACTCGCGCACTCCTCAACATATCCCCCTCCTCCAGCTCGACCTCCCCTGCCGACACCCCCCACATCCTACACCTTATCTTAAACTGCTCGAGCTGCTCCCTCGCGATCTTCGCCGGCTTCGGCATGACCTCGATCCCATAACTTCTACACCCGCTCTGCAGACTCGCCTGCATGGCAATACTCCCCACACCAGAGCCCAGATCCATAAACAGCGACTCAGGCTTGAGACCAGTCGCGCACACGATCTCGGCCACGAGCGACGGCATGAGCTCGCCGTACACCTCGGATGAGAACGCGGTGTACTGCCGAAGGGACTGGACGTGCGGGCCCACACACCGCTGGTAGCACTCGTCCATGATGCGCATCATGACCTTTCTGGGTACTCCACCTGGTGTCCACGTCTTCACCACCTCCTTCAGCGGATTCGGTGGCGCGTCGTCAAAGGGATCAGGGGAAAGGGGCGGGTACTTGAACGATCCAAAGAGGTCGTTGATGTGCGCCATCGCCTTCAAGAATGCCGGTCCATCTTGTCTGTGTATCGCTCGCTGGACGGCGCGGAGGTACCCCCCGGGCGGTGGCGGGCTGTCGGAGAGGGATGATAAACTGGTCAAGGTTGAGCCTAACGACGAGCTACTCGACGAAGACAGACTCGTCAGGGTGGATGTAGTGGAATGGGCAGGTGAAGGAAACGCGGACAGGAGGGGTGAACTGGGTGGTGTGACGTCCGCAATGTTGTCCGTGGGTATCGGGCCCACCAGTACCCGCTGCTCCGGACTGAGGTAGTCTGCTCAAGGACTTAGTAGAGTATTCATGAAAGAATTCAATGCACTCACGTTCTACAATAACATGCAGTGTCTTCTCCAGACACATGATGGGGTTGTAATGATCTTTATCTTTGGGTGCCAGAAGGATGAATCTGACACGTCATCAGACATGACAGAATCGACGGGTAGTGACACTCACCGTTCGCTGGCGTTGCTGTTAGGATACTCTAGCTCTACACTGGGATAATCGGTCGGATGCGGGTCGAACGAGGCGTCCTTTGGGTCGTCCGGATTTCGGAAATCTATGCACGTGTAAATATCCGGAGTCCAATCAGCAAACGCCGATTCAGCTTACAGGCTTTGTATCCTTTCATCAAGCTCTTCACAACATCTTCACAACTCAAGAACCCAGGGCCGGGCTTACCGCCTTCCCGAATCCAGCATTCGCGCGAAATAGGGGCATCAGGCGCAGGGTGCACCGAGACTGACCTCGATCGGCTATTGCGATATATAGGCTCCGGCGTCGACACCGACGTCTGTGGGCGCGCCGAGGACGAGCGCGAGGCGGGAGTGGCGGATTTGCCCGAGGACGCTGCGCTCTTCCTGAGCGGCGGCGAGACGCGTTGCTTCTTCGTGTTCTTGGGTGCAGGACGCGCCGAGGCGGGCTCCCCACGCTTCCTGCTCTCGCTCGGCGCCGCCGATCGCGACGACGACGCGTGCGGCTGCGCGGTGGCGGGCGTGGGCTGCGAGCGCGGGACCTGGATGGGTCTGACGACCACGCGGGTCGACGTCGTCGAGGACGACGAGGACGATGAGGAAAGGGTGTTTGGAGGCCTCGTCCGTGATGTGAAGAAGTCGGAGGACTTTAGCGGAGAAGGATTCGAGAGCATCGTGGCGGACAGTGACAAAGGGAAAAATGGAGGGATGCGGGTATGGCGATGAGGTCAAAAGGAGACTCTCGGGCCTCGCGTCTTGCCGCCGGGGACCACGTGGTCTGGCTGTGTAAGCGCCTATATCTAGCCACAAGCACCCTTGCATTGCCCCCTTCGCAGTCCACAACCCGTACGCAGCACGGCGGAAATGAGGTCAAAGCGATGCAAGGCTTAGAAAAGGAGACCGGTATCTGAAGTAGTCGAATAAGGCCAGAATCCGACCACCTGGAGACTAAACTTGGACTAAACATCTTGGGAACCGAGCGCAGCTTCGACATGGACCTTGCCCCATGCAGATCAGGAAGTCCATATGTACAGGGTAGCAGACGCAAGAGAAATCGACATGAGAGACGAGACGCAACCGAGCATAGATAGCAGCACGCACTCCCAGCGTCGATGTGGAGCGATGGTCCAGTGGATGCCACAAACAAATAGAAACAAGCAGCGTCTAGGTCGCCACAATCACCATTTCATTTCCTTCTGCACCAAGGATCTCCTCACATGCAGCGACAGTAACATCTCAGGGCGCAGCTTCATATCGTCGTGAAAAAAGTCGAGGAGAAATCACCCCCATGGGGATCTGATGTGTCGCCTCGCAGGTTCATCTTCCCGATCGCGAGTCCCTGACACGGAGTAATCTGCTATAATACATCCATTTCATTGCCAACCGATGCCAACCGAGCATAACGAAACCAGACATGTAGAGGTAGAGTAGAACACCAGTACGTGCGCGACGAATACCCGAGACCGAGCCTATTTATTTAAATAGCGAAACCAAGCGACAGCGAGAGACAGAAACATCGATACATGACATAAATGAAGTGACTGAATGGGATACGAAGACATGTACATGCGTGCGTGATGTAGTGTCCCGTGGAGCAGTGACAGACAATGCAGGGGTGAGGGATAAAATACAGGGAATCAGAGAAACGCACGAGCAAAAGTAACTCAATGCTGCACCCCCTGCTTCTTCGCCTGCAGCCTATCCAATATACATTGCACGCCCGCCGGCTCAAGGACAACCTTTGTCCCATCACACTTGGCCTTCTTCGTAAACTCTGAGCAGAGCTCATTGATATCAATGTCCTGCTTGAACAACCCCTCGTCAGCGACCGCGAGAACTAAATCAAAAGAACCCCACGCACCTTGAACTTCGGATCGCTCGTGATACTCCGCCACGCAGCCAGCACCTCGACGTTCCGCTCGCTCGCCTCCGTCCGCGGGATATTACTCCCCTTACATACCACCATCTCCTCGCCACCGTCCCCGCCCTGCGCCTTCCGCAGCACGGGGAACGGCTGTACAGGCGTGCCCCCATTGCCAGTCACGAAGGGGCTCGCGCCCTGCGCCTCGATGCACTTGCCCAGCTCCGCCTTCGTCTTCGGACACTCCTTCGGTCCCCCGATATTGGAACAGCTGAGCGTCGGCGTGAGCGGCGAGGACGACGACGACGATGACGAGGACGGCGTCTGCTCCGTCCCAGAGGACAGCGAGGACGGCGACCCACTGGCATGGTGCGACACGGGGCTCATCGTGTCCCCCGGCGAGCGCGCTACAAGCGCATTAAAGTCGACCGTACCCGTCGACGTCAAGAAGTTGCCGCCAAACAGGTCGTCGAAGCTCTGCATCGTCGAATCGCCATTATTCCCGTTGTGTTGTTGTTGTTGTTGTTGTTGTTGCTGCTGCTGCTGCTGTTGGCCATTACTGTTCCCGTTCGAACTATGGCTGTTCGCAGCCCCGCTGGCATACGACGGGCTCGGTATCGATCCCGGCCAGGGCAGGAACTGATTAAATTCGAACGTCTGGCCCGTGCTCCCGCTACCGGGGCCCGTGCTGGCCGGGCTCGCAAACGTCGGATACGATTGTTGTCCCTGCTGCTGCTGGGGCTGCTCATACTCCGGCGCAGGCTCCGCGAAGCTCATAAACAAAGGATTGCTCGCGATCGTCCTGTACGGACTCCGCCCGCCGCCGCCATCGTAGCCCATGTCCATGTGCACGTCCGGCTGCTCGCTCAGCGCGGCGGCGTCGAACGTTGTGAGCGCGTTAAAGTCGATCGTCTCCGGCACGAGCACGGGCGCCGCGTGCGGGACCGTGGCGGATGGCGGGGAGGAAAAGTTGAAGGTGTAGTCGCGCAGCGCGGCGTACAGCGGCTGTGTGTTCGGCTTGGCGGTGAAAGGCGGCGAGGAGGGCCCGGCGGCGGAGGAGGGCGAGGCGGTGGAGGTAGAAGGCATGTTGAAGGTGAAAGCTGCTTGTTTGAGCTGCATGTTCTCGGATTGGAGGCGCTGGAGGAGATCGCGGAGGTTCTCGTTTTCGGACTGGGTGACGGCGTTCTTGGCTTCGAGAGCCGCTACCTTGTCTTCGAGCTGAACGGGTAGACTTGGCAATTAGTTCATGCACTCGCAATGGGAGAAGGCGGGTGGCAAAGATAGGAATCTCCGAAGCAAATGCGATCCGCGATAAACACTTACGTCTCGAACATGTTTCTCCTTGCGCTCCCTGAACGCCCGCTGAGCAGCACGGTTCTGCTCTTTGCGCTTTAATAGCCGCGACTCGTCCTACACCGCAACCAGGTCGGCATAGACAGCAAACATTCGTAGACGACACCGCGCACCTGGTGTGGATTGCCCGTCGATTTTCTTCTTGACGACGTACCCTTTTTGGCGCCAGCGGTGTCTGATGCGACAAACCAGAAGCCCGAGAAATGATATGTTATTACGGTGAACACCAATCAGAGGACACGAGAGCAAGAAACAGACCATTGGGGTGCGCTGTCTTACGGCTGGGGCCATCTTCGACGTCCTCGCCGCTGGCTTTGCGCTTCAGCTCTCCATGGGCGCTCTCGACCTGAGAACCGGAGTAAGCGGCAGACTGCCTACGCGAGCTAGTGTCTGTATGTACGCTGGGTGGCGAGGGGGAACTCTCGTCGGAGCTGCTAGGGCTGCCACTGCCGTTATTACCATTATATCTTGTCAGGCTCTGCGGATCGACACCGTCGAGGCCGTTGACGCCTGGCGAGAGCGAGAAAAGGGAATTAGCGGTGGGGGAGTCGTTGGAAACAAACTGCTTTTGAAGAAGGGCGAGAAAGTCGTCGTCTGGAAGCTGCGAGAAGGAAACGGGCTGCTGGGAGAGATCCCAGAGCGAGGGGACGCCGTTGAACGCCTCCATCGGTGACGAGTGGGGATAGATTGTTAAGCAGCGGCCAAGGCAGGTTAATGCGGTGACTAAAAAAGCGGGTAGACCAAGTATGCTGACTCGTCGACGACGGCGACGACGGCGGCGGGAGCGTCGAGCAGGATGTGGTGTGAAACAAACAGCGCGGAGCAGGACGTCGGCCTGATCGCCAGTTTGGTGCTGTCGGCCGCACGGTCCACGCCTTCCTTTCTGGGAGGTCCCGCGGTCTTCGGCGCTCGCACAGTCTCCGCCCTGCACCGTCTGCGACGAGCGCTAAGGGAGTCTGCTCGTTGCCTGATGCTTGCGCGTTCCTGCCGAGGACCCTCTCCGACGCGCTACCGACGACTGCTGGACTGACTCACTCCTCTGATCGTTGATTGCGATTAATCGCTCAATTCGAAACTCGTCTTCCCCAACTTTTTGGCTGCACATTCGCTGACAAATTCGTTTGTTTTACCAGCGACCAGATCACGAGAGCGCCGAATCGAGTCGGTGGACCTCGGGGGATGGTACGAACGGCCGACGCTATAGATAGGCACGGATCCGAGTGCAGCCTGTGCCTTCAACAACTCCAGGCCGAGCGGTGCATGTCTGAGCATCTTCCTTCTCTGAACATCGTATCCGTGTCATTCATGACGTCGTTTCATAGTCCTCGTTGTTCCGCTCGTCCTGAGCGCTCCGGAAAACATATATCGCTGAACATGATGTTACAGTTCTGTCAAATGAAAGCGCCCTTGTTCCCGGTCTGCACCGCGCGCCGCCTTGCCCCATGCAGCGACGGCTCGTTAGCACCTCCTTAGTCACCGCCTTCGCAGTTCTCGCATCAGAACCTCGAGGTCAAACTCAACTGACCTTCGAAGGCTTCAGGACGGCTCAGGACGGCTCTCCATATGAATCATTGATACTGACACAGCCACCTCTAGGTCGCTGAGTTCGAACCCGACCGTGATCTCTCATCGTCTCCCGATCGACTTTGAACGCTGCTTGGCACCTTAGCATCATCCCTTTCTCCTCGGGGGTTTCTCCGTTGCATCCCAGTGCTGGGTGGACTCTGACAAGTCCGAATTTCCAGCAACCGAACAATGTGATCCTCAGCTATTTTCTCCTCCCCCCCTTACCCATCGGATCTTGTTAGCTCGTCCCGCCCTTTCCGAACTGCTCAATCTGAATGGGAGAAGGGAGTTTTGCGACCCCTGTTGACCTGTCAACGTTCTCAACAGACTACATATTCTCAGGCCCTTCAACTGCATATCCTAAGCATCGTTCCAAAGATTGCCCAACGTTCTCAACGGGTATACCATATAAGAGACGATTCCGATAGGTTTGCTCCTATGTTCAGGGTGTGCGAACATTAGCTAGAGCTGTTGAAACATTGCTATGTACATGACATCGCTATGGCGTTGCTATGTATTGGACGGGGGGTTCAAAATAATCCAATGGTGATTGTGGCAGAAACGGAGTGTGCATCCAAGTACTTAGAATAGATTTCTCACGCCAACAGGGAAACCCTACTCTAGGGTTGACGCCCTCCTTACTGCAACAGGGAAAGGATATGTGAACAGTCGTCGAACAGTACAAAGGTGTAAATTCAATAGTATATACTCCAGCAGGACTTTTGAAAGAGATGTCACATAAACAAGTGGGTTCCCTTAAAGTACTGAACACACACTGTACGTGGGGAGCTTGGATTTTGGGCACGCAGTTTGGTGCCGTTTCGTAGAACCAGCTCTTCTTTTTGGACCTATTGGTAGCAGTATACCCTTCCCGCGCGTCGACGATCTAGAGAACTAAGAGGAGGTGCGAGGTACTAGCTAACCCCCAGTATCCATACGGACCGCCAAAAAAACAAAAGCACTACAGTAGCAAATGCACACCTCCCTAAGTAGGGCTCCTACTACTAGTAATACCGCAGATCCTATAGCTAATCGTCCAGATCCGGTTGGTATGGCTCCACAAGCATCTTACTGAACTCCTTTAGCTTCTCCGGACCGCGCACCTCCTCCGTGAGCAGCGGCAGCTGCACGATATGGAAGAACTCGTCGTACAGCTCGTGTGCCTCGTTGAGGTACTTTTGCTGCATCTTGTGCCGCACGCGACAGTGCTCGCAGTTGGAGCCTGCGTGTAGATATCAGGAGGTTTTAGTAGGAAAAGGAGGGGAGGGGAAGAAAGGGGGGCGCGCACTCTTCTTAGGGAACAGAAGCTGGTTCACGACAATATTATGTGTGTCGATCTCATATGCGGTGAGCTCCTGTACGAGCCGCTCCGTCTCGTACAGCGAGAGGAATTCGGATATGCACACGCATACGAACGTAGTTTTTTCCTGCGTCCGTGTCAGTCTGAAGCTGCGGAAGACGAAGACAAGAGGGCGTACCGGGTCCTTGAACTGGGTGTTCACCTCCGTGATCACCGCGCGCATACTCTCGAGCTTCGAGAACATGTCCTCCGTCGAGTTCGCCCCACCTCCCATCAGACTTGACATCTATTTACCCAACGAACCACACACTGACGTAAGTTCCCCGTGTATGCAAAACCACTGGTTGATAATTGGGAGGATGCACACGTACCTGATTAAGCATGGGCCCTATCCGCCCGCTGAGCGTGCTCAGCTTGCCGAGTGCCTTCTCGAGCACGGTGGGGAAGGAGAGGAAGCGAAGGGTGTGTCCCGTCGGCGCGGTGTCGAATACTATGACGGAGTATTCCATTGACTTCACATGCCTGTAATGAGTCGCATTCCATTTCGTTCAGTTCACGTCGTTGTGTTCCCTTATGTGAGATAAGGAGGACATGCGGTGGAGTTGGGCGGAAAGGGGAGGCAACAAGAACAGCACAACACGCACTTCATGATTTCCGCAAAACTCATCGCCTCGTCCACACCCGGTATGGCAAAAGCGAGGTCCTGCATCATACTTCCCATCATCCCGTTATTGTCCGCTGAGTTCGCATTCCATCCCAATTAGCATAACCCATGCGGGAATGGTGCAGGCGGATAAGTCGTGAATTAGTAGGACGTACATTGCTCCACCATCTCCTGGATCGCGCTGGACGGGTCGATCTCCATTGCATACAAGTTATCAAAGCCATTCACTTTAGTCGCGTCCTTGGAGAACTTTTGGCCGAATGCGTCGGAGAGATTGTGTGCTGGGTCCGTTGACTACATACGGGACGCATCAATTATCAAGAAAGATGAGAACAAGGGCACTGGACGAGGGTGAAGGGATACTTACAATGAGAAGTACGGATTCCCGACATTGCGCTAGCTGGATCGCAAGCGAACACGAGGTGGTCGTCTTGCCTGCAAGGCACTTACGTTTCAGCACATTGCAGGCCTTCGCTATGAATGAGTGCGAGCGCACCTACACCGCCCTTCCCTCCTGAAACACTGCTTCAGCTTATATTATTCCAAGTAGGACGAGCGAGACGAGGCGACGTGCCGCAAAATATCCACTTCAACGTCTTCTGGTCGAGCACGTTCTGCAGCGTCGGTTCTAGCGTTTCCGAGTCCATTCCGATGTATCCGAGCCCGTCGTATAGTCTGAGTTGAAGGGAACCGAGGGTGATAATGCCAGGAGGGCTGCGCGTCTATATACGATCGCGTGAAGCTTGATATCGTGTCCGCGTTCCTTCAGCTAGCCGGCGGTACTTACCAGCATCTTCCATCTCAATCGCGTATACGCTTGGGACTTTCTGGTATGTCGGACAAGCTAGTGGTATCGTTCAGAGGTGAAGGGTATTCATGGAAGAAGCGGTACGGATGACTTCTGACTTTGGTGACCCTAGCTTTGCAGCTCGCGAATGAGCAGCGCAGTGCGTACGGACTCAGGTATAATGATTTCCAAAGATACAGGTGAGTGCCGAATTCATCGTCTTGCCAAATGCTTGAATATCAACCCTTGTCTACGTAGGAAACACTGCGCGAACAGGACGCATCGTCTCCGCTCCTCCCTCAAGATGACCCATGGCAAGGGCCGCGAATTCAAGAAACTACCCCCTCTAACTCTGGATAACATCAAAGACGGACAGTACGTGTTTTTCGTCTCATCCCCCTCCGGCACAACCTCGCTAATATGCTTCCCCCAGCCTGCAGCTCCTTCTCTTCGAAGCCGAGCGCGCATGGGCCTACTCACAAGAACTCCTGGCGGACTCAAGCAAGCCCGAGAACAGCGCGCACGCTGCAACTCTTCGACACAGTGCAACAGGCCGCTTCCGGCGCGCGGTGCACTGGTCCACCGAGCTCCTCTCCCACTGTCAGACTCTCCACTCTGCCCAGCGTCTGTCCGCCTCCGCTCTGCTCGAGGCGTCCGTCTACACCCTCATCCTGAACGGCCGCTTCCTGAGGCATCGGGACGAGTTTGAGGACGCGCTTGTCCAGCTGAGTGTCGCACGGAACCTGTTGGACGAGCTGGCCAGCCGGGCGGCGACGAGCCGCGACCAGGCACTCGCAACGGTATTTGCGGACGAGATTAGTCCGGAGATTAGGTATTGTGCGCACGAGATGGGGCGGTCGGGGTCTTACGACGTCGACGCGATCGTCATGGAGCTGGGCCCGAAGCACCGCGCGGAGCTCGTAGAGGATTGTGAGAGTCTCGTCGCACAGCTGGAGAGCGAGGCAGAAGTGGCAGGGAAAGGCCAGGCGCGGAGACAGCTGCGCGAGATTGTCTGGGAAGGCGAGCCAGTCCCGATACGAAGCCCTGAGCTGGTGGACGTCCTGCTCAGAGTGCAGGAGGCCGAAGCGAAGTTGCGCGAGAGCCAATCAGAGAATACTCAGCCCGTAAAGAGGGAGAAGGCCGAAAAGGGGAAGCGTAGGAAAGTAGGGAAGGGGGGAAGGTCGAGGAGGGGCGTCGCGGCGTATGATGTGATCCTCCTTGCCCTGAGTGACGCTGAGGAAGTGGCAAGGAAGCTTGTCGAAGCGCAACAGGTATGTCTTGGACTTACAGGCCCTTGTTTGGGAACGCTAATGCAAATGAATGTTGTGCAGTTAAGCGGCACTGGTACTTCCGCCGCTGTTGCTGGGACCCGCGATATCCACTTCGTACATGCTTATATCGTCTACCAACTGCTCTCCCGCCGTATTCAGCGTGATTTGTTGCTCATCTCTGCGCTATTGTCTTCTCAAAATCACCCTCAACATGGCGCGCAGCGGAAGACAGTTCCTGCATCCTCGAAGTCAAAGAACGAACAGGTCGATGCTCGGCTGTATCCGGCCGTAGTTAAAGTGCTGGATACCGTGCTGCAGAGCTTGGAGCAGATGAGAACATTGAGTATTGTGGACGAGAGTCCCGACCTGGCCACTGCTGTCGAAGCACGTATTCTATTTACTAAAGCCAGAAGGTAAGCTACCAAATTTACGGGTCATCTGCTGATAACTCAAATCCTTCGAGGTGTCTCTTCCTGTCGCGCTCTTATGCAGCTGTGAAGAAATACGCCGAGTCTCTTGCGCTCATCCGGCATGCCCAAATCCACCTCCGCGAGGCACGCTCGCTCATGTCCACCGCCGGGTCAGACCCCATCTCCTCCGGCTCCCCGGACTTCTCCCCCCTCTCAGCTGAGGCAGTCAACAAGCTCGACACTGAACTGGCCTCGGACGGCCTGAAGTTCAAGAAGGCGTGGTTCGCGTTCAACGGGGGCCAGATCGATCCCGACAGCAGCAAGACATACAAGAAGCCACTGTTCTTTGACATCGCGCTGAATTATGTGCAGCTCGATATGGACAGACTGCAGGCACGGGCGGGGAAACAGCCTGCCGCACCCGCTGCGAAGGCTGTGCCTTCTGCCGTTCCTGAGAAGAAGGCTCCTGCCAGGGCAAAGGTGGAGGAAATCGAGCGTGCGGCCACTCCAGAACCGCAAGCAGCTCCTAGTAGAGGTGGATTGAGTAGTTTGCTAGGTGGCTGGTGGGGTCGGTCGTAAATAGTCGTAGACATGGTGTTCCTCAAGTTCAAAGATCGAAAACGTTTATCATCCTGGAAGGATATCAGTGGAGCCTGTTTTCAGTCTCCCGTTTCGAAGACATGGATTAAACCACTTCAAATCTACCTTCGAGCCCCACAGGAGACTTCAAATTACATGAGATGAATAAACTAATAAGAATAGGTAGATGTCATATATTACACGAGAGATCCGACAATGAACGTCATTCCCGCCCTCACGATTCAATAAACTGGGGATACTCCTTGTCAGCCCCGAAGTTAACAAGCGGAGAAAGTAAACTCGCCTGTATAGCCAGTGCTTCAGAGAAGGCAGACTTCCCTTTGACTTCTTTAGCTTCAGGTTTACTGATGAGACTGATGCCTCGACCGAGCTTCCTAACTGCGTCCCAAAACTCTGGATTGCCGGGATATTCCAGGCAGGCGTCTTTGAGCTCCTGGATAAAGCTGGAAATAGATTTATCGTTGTCAAAAATGCCAAAATCTCGAATACACACTCGTTCCACACGTCTATCTCGTCCTCCTGTGAAGCAAGCCTCCGGGATGAGACACGGTTCTGGTGACATCAGCAAGGTACATACCTTCAAGCATACTTCCCTGAGCTCCTGCATGCACTGTAACAGCTCCTCCGTTCTCCTTGACGCGAATGGCTTGAGCACGATGTCCTTAATCACGTATGCCAGGTCCCCGACGGCTTTCGACACCAGGTCTCCCTTAACGAGGTTCTTCCTGAAATCCTCTAATGGACGAGTCCTCCCAACAATCCTGCCTTCGTCCCTGCCCATGTCATGTTCGGGTGACTCAGGAGCGGGGGTGGGTATGTTATGATTTTTCTGTGGTTTATTGGGCGTCTTCTTTCCGTCGAGCAACATCTCTTCGTCTTCATCCTCTGTTTCCGATTCAGCGGCAACTTCTGGAGCTGTCTTAGCTGGAATCAACTGAGAAGAGCCGGATGCTTGCAGTTGCGATTGGGAGGCAATCGATTGCGTGCGACGTGGGATCTTCTCCAGCAGTAACATATCCTGGTCTTCATCGGCTGCACGGACATGCCCGTCCTTGCGCTGCTTGAAGACTCTTTTAGGCACTATGAAACAGGGTTAGCGGTCGCTGCCCCAAGAATACATTGTAAGAGGCACTGGTCCCATGAATGGACTTGCCTTCCTTAACATTGAAGAGATTCTTGCACTCCTCAATAGTTGGTCTCGCGCGTTTCAAGACACGCTTAGGAGGATCGAAGTATTTCAGGAGCTCAGGATGTGGAGGAGGTAGAGGATTCGTAGTCAGGTCCGAGACAATAGCGCTGTGGAATAGGGCTTGCTTGACCCTATGAACTGCGGGGTTGTAGGAAAACCGGACGTCAAACCATGGACCGCGATTTCTAGAGCATTCAGCATGTCAATACAAAAACTCTCGGCAAACATGCTTTACATCGCGAAGTTGCCACTGACCCTTCTTCGTCCTTCTCCCCTGCATCCATGAGGTCCATAGCATCGACGAAATTATCCATAGCATCAAGTTGCTCGTTGGTGGGAAGATACGGATGTTTCAGGATCCGCTCGCCATTCTTGTTTACCAGATTCTCCAGAGATGCGAATGTGTACTTCCGGACATCATCTGCGAATGGCATCTACCGCACAGTACCAACGGTGAGTCTCTGTTCACAAGAGGAACATAGCTTGGTGACGCACTTGCACCCACAGTAGACAGTCGACACTCTCAAACACGCTCGGCGAGAGCACTCCCATCTTCGGATCGGCACCGTCCCTACTTACCCATCTGCTGATGGCCATTACACCTTGCTCGAACATAGCTTGCACGATTGACGAAAAGGCTACTTGTTGCTGCGGTGAAGTAGGGTCGGCCCATACGTAGTACACCTCTCCCATAGCATGGTCCCTGCGGAACTGAAGGGCGGTCAGTGGCCACTAAAATACCGAATAAATTTGAAACATACATTCTTGGACTTGAAGAATCCAGCGATATCAATGCCTTTCCGCGTTTCAAGCTTGGGGAACGATCCATCAGGACAAAGCACGTATGTCGAGCCGTACTTGAAGCCTCGCTGCAGCTCTTCCTTTGTCAGCGGCTTGACATTGCCATTCTTGCTTTTCTTATCTCCCTCCTCGGCTTGCTCCTCATCTTTCATATCGATGTCGCTATCTTCGTCCCCCTCATCCAGGACGTACTGTGTCTGCTGCTTCAGCTCAACCCATAGGGCCTTATCAGAGTCCACTTCTGTGCCGTCCGGGAACGTTTTTCGCTTCCCGAATTTCTTGAATCCCTTGGGACGAGTCACTGCAGTGCACTTACTATACTTGACAAGCACCTCAATGGCTTCCTCGGATCGCGCATCCACGTCACCCAGACGAAGGATGGATCCCATCAGGGTAGACTTGACGATTTTCACGTCTGGACGGGAGATTTCGCGTAGAGCTAAAGCACATGTCCCCACTATGCCATTCTCCAGCCGAGAAACGAAATTGTGGAAGAAAGCCTCGTTTGCTCGCTGTAGAAGGTCTTCGGTGAGTCCGCCTACACTGCAAGTGAAACAGACTCACCTTGATGGTCGATTTGTTTCCCTCGTGGAAGGGTAACTCATCGTCATCAAAGTCTACGCCACTGCAAAGGACCGGACAGTGGTTCCAGAGATGCGCAGTCGTGGCAGGGATGTCACTCACACAATAGTCAAGCTTATATCCAAAGTATTCATCTTCTCGACAATTGCCTCCCAGTCTTCGACTTCGATGGGATTTGCGCCATCCGTCAGCAGGACTATTTTTTTCGTCCAGGTCTTCTTGTTGGCTAGATAGGTCCTCTGGGTCTCGATGCCCACGACAAGAGCGTCGATTGCTAAGACAAAGTTGGCTTTCGTTCGTCAATGAGGTCGTGAAACCTACGGTCTCCGACTTCTTCTGAGGGCTCAAGTTCGGATAACTTGGCAAGAGTGCCTGCATTAGGCATAGTAATGTCGATATAGTTCATGACATGTTCATAGCCACCGCTTTTGTCGTGAATTATGTTCTTGGTTTCTGCACGAGTCGCCTTCAGTCGGCAGATTATGCCGACCTGTTAGACACAAACCTTCAGCCCCGAATAGGATGACACCGCACTGTTCGGTCTTCCTTCCGTGGTAGATCTTAGAGGTCGTGTTACAAAGGCTGTAGGGAGAAGTTCTAACAATGATAGCAAAATGCATACCATTTCCTGTATCTTTAGTTTTACAAACTGTAGCGCCCACTCAAGGTTGGTCATTTCTGCCGTCTGTGGCTCGCCGTTCGGAGCGTCTGGTAGATCCACCGTCCTCAGTTTCCCCATGGACGCAGAGACGTCCACGAGAAACATGGTCACTGTATACTGCAGCAAGAATAAGCACAGCACCAAGTGCAGACTTCAAACACTTACCCCTGCTCGCTCGGCGGGCATGGTGGGCGCCAGAGACTGAGTCGCGTTGAGGTCCCGCTCGGACGCGCTCGATTAAGGCGGCACGTGACCCGCCTCTTGGCTGCTTAGTCAGCACTGTGGGCACAGGTTTGGGGCGATTCTGCTGTGAACCGTCTCTCACTCTACGCGCGGTAATTGACAAGCGGACACAGACGCGACTCGCGACTCGTTAACGTGACTGGCGCGATGGCCGCTCCTATGCCCGCGTCGATGTCCGTCCCCAATATGGGCCAGAATGGCGCCCACAACCTGACACCTCAGCAGCAGCAGGAGCTCTATAATGCAAAGCAGGCAAAGGACCGTATGCAGCAGCTCTGGCATGTAAGTGTGCTGCTTTCGGTTAGCGGATGGAGATACTGAAGAGCCATAACGCCTGCAGAGGGCGCAAATGCTCAGACAGAACGGGGCGACTCCGGAGAACAGCGAAGAACTGGCAAAGATAATGAGGGCCATTGCGATGTTCCAACAACAATGTACGTGATGTCTTTTGCTTTCATCTTCCTGACTTAGCTTGGTACAGTCGCCCAAAACCGACCTCAGCCCCAGGATCACCACCAGTCTGCACCTCAGCCAGTTGTTAATGGCCATGCTCCTACGCCATCCACATCAATGTCCAATGGGACACCCGTCCCCAATGGCAATCCTCTTACCACTGGATCAGTACCCGCGCAGCCTTATCCTACCGCTTCCACTACTCCTGTCTCTTTCACGCCTGACCAGATCAATGCGCTCCGGGTCCAGATCTATGCCTTCAAGATGCTGCAGCGTGGTATGCCCGTTCCCGACGTCGTCCAGAAAGCACTTCATTCCCCGTATCAAAACATACCCGAGCTAGAGAAGCTTCTCCAGGGCAGCGACGTCAACGCTAGAGTAATAGACAACGCTGTGAAAGTCCAGAAGGCTGTCGACGGCGGCGCTACCGACTCCCCGATCCCTGACGCCATCAAGACCGAGGAGCAGGAACCATTGCCCAACGCCGCTGACTATCCGAAAGGGCCGTTCCTGGAGGACAATGTCGACTCTGGGATATACCCGTATAATGCTTTTGTTCATCCTTTCACCCACCTCAAGCAGATCACCGAGAATCCTGCCTTGTTCGCGACCCGCCTCCAGCGACTCCTCATACCGTCCATCATGCCGTCTGGCCTTGATCCTCATCAGATTGTCGCAGAGCGGAATCGCTATATCGAGGCCCGCATGGCACAAAGGGTGCGTGAGCTCGAGGCCTTGCCCGCTACCATGGGCGACGGTGGCATGGACGGCGTTCTTGAGGATGCAAACGAGAAGCAGGAAGAGCTGAAGATTGAGGACTTGCAGAGTCTCGTGCATCCAAGTCCCAATGCCCACGGGAAGTTGCGGGCAATGATTGAGCTCAAGTCTCTTCGGGTCGTCGATAAGCAGCGCGCGTTACGAGCTATGGTCGCCGAGCGCTTGACGCATGGCTCCCTGCTTCCCCTCAATCGTACGGACTTCCGCCGGTCAAGGAAACCAACCATCCGGGATGCTCGAATGACAGAGCAATTGGAGCGAAAGCAAAGGGTTGAGAGAGAGCGGCGGGCGAAGCAGAAACATGTCGAGCAGCTTGGCGTTATTTGTACCCATGGCAAGGAGGTGCTGGCGGTCAACAGAGCTGCCCAGGACAGAATCGTCAGGCTTGGTAAGGCCGTTTTGTCATTCCATGCTCATACGGAGAAGGAAGAGCAGAAGAGAGTGGAGAGGATCTCCAAGGAGCGCCTCAAGGCCCTCAAGGCTGACGATGAGGAAGCGTACATGAAGCTGATCGATACTGCGAAGGATACCCGTATCACGCACTTGCTCAAGCAGACGGATGCTTACCTCGACTCCCTGGCCCAGGCAGTGCTGGAGCAGCAGAATGACGATGTGCACAAGAATACACTTGCGTTGCCCTTCGAGGTCGAGGAAGGGCCAGTTGGCGAGGCGACTTTCGGAGCGAAGAATACCCTGGAAGACGAGCCTGTCGACCCTAATCGTGACAAGAAGCTGGACTACTATGCCGTGGCGCACAGGATTAAGGAGAAGATCACTAAGCAGCCCAGTATTCTTGTTGGCGGCACCCTCAAGGACTACCAGATCAAAGGGCTGCAGTGGATGGTCAGTCTGTACAACAATCGTTTGAACGGGATCCTCGCAGATGAGATGGTGCGTATCATCTGACCTATCCCTTGCCCGGCTGCTGAAATGATATTGTCGTAGGGTCTGGGAAAGACCATCCAAACTATATCGCTCATTACATTCCTCATCGAATGTAAGAAGGAGAGGGGCCCTTTCCTCGTCATCGTGCCACTGTCGACCATGACCAACTGGAGCGGAGAATTCGCTAAGTGGGCTCCTAGCGTTAAGATGATTGCATATAAGGGCAGCCCTACCCAGCGTAAAGCCCTGCAGTCCGAGCTTCGGGGCAATAATTTCCAAGTGTTGTTAACTACCTACGAGTATATTATCAAGGATCGCCCCGTCCTTTCGAAGATCAAGTGGGTACACATGATCATCGGTAAGTGACTCACTACGCGAGTCTTGGCTTGGTTCTTACAAGTTTGGTAGATGAGGGTCATCGTATGAAGAACACACAGAGCAAACTCGCTCAGACTCTAACGCAGTACTACCACTCCCGGTACCGCCTCATCTTGACCGGCACACCCCTGCAGAATAACCTTCCTGAACTCTGGGCCCTTCTTAACTTCGTTCTACCAAAGATCTTTAACTCCGTCAAATCCTTCGATGAGTGGTTCAACACGCCCTTTGCCAATTCAGGCACTGGTGATAAGATCGAGCTTAACGAAGAGGAGGCGCTGCTCATCATTCGTCGTCTGCACAAGGTGCTGCGGCCCTTCTTACTGAGGCGTTTGAAGAAGGACGTGGAGTCTGAGCTGCCGGACAAGGTGGAGAAGGTGATGAAGGTCAGGATGAGTGCTCTACAGGCGCAATTGTACAAGCAAATGAAGAAGTACAAGATGATCGCAGACGGGAAGGAGAGCAAAGGGTATGTGATCAGTGATCTCTCGTCTTCTCCTGCTGACTCTTAGTGCCCTTACATAGCAACAGATCAGGCGGTGTAAAGGGCCTTAGTAATGAGCTTATGCAGCTGCGAAAGATCTGTCAGCATCCGTATCTCTTTGAGAGTGTCGAGGATAGGATCAATCCGAGCGGCCTCATCGACGAGAAGCTCATTCGTACTTCTGGAAAAATCGAGCTGCTCTCTCGTATCTTGCCCAAGTTCTTTGCCACCGACCATAGAGTGAGTAGCCATGCCCGTTGTTCACAAGTGCTGGTTCTGACGCGTAGGTTCGCAGGTTCTGATATTCTTCCAGATGACTAAGGTCATGGACATTATGGAAGATTTCATGAAGATGATGGGATGGAAATATCTGCGACTGGACGGTGGTACGAAGACCGAAGAGCGTGCTGGCCATGTCGCCCTCTTCAATGAACCAAACTCCGAATATAAAGTCTTCATCCTGTCTACAAGGGCTGGTGGTCTCGGTTTGAACTTGCAGACGGCAGACACTGTCATCATGTATGTTTTCCATTTCCGACTGCCGTTCTGTTTTCCTGACTCTTTCTATCTCACACGAATCTCAGCTTCGACACGGATTGGTGCGTAACATACTGGTTTCTATACCGGGAAGGCTCTGACTGAGTCATGCTTCACCTAGGAATCCTCATGCTGATCTCCAAGCTCAAGATCGTGCGCATCGTATCGGTCAAACGAAGACCGTTCGCATCCTGCGTTTTATCACTGAGAAGAGTGTCGAGGAGCATATGTATGCTCGCGCTCGGTACAAGCTTGACATTGACGACAAGGTTATCCAAGCCGGTCGCTTTGATAACAAGTCCACTCAGGAAGAGCAAGAAGAGTTCTTGGTAAATGCCCTTTTATAGACTACACACCTCATAACCTGACCTCGTTTAGCGTCTCATCCTTGAAGCTGACCAGGAGGAAGAGAACGAGGAAGCTGGTACCATGAACGACGACGAAATCAACGAGATTATTGCGCGTAGTGATGAGGAAGTCATTATATTCAAACAGATGGATATAGAGAGGGAGCGCGCGAGGGAGCAGGCTTGGAGGGCCGCTGGTAACCGTGGGAAACCACCACCACCTTTGATGCAGCTTGAAGAGCTGCCTGAATGCTACCAGACCGACGAGCCATTCGAAGCCAAGGAGGACGAGCTTGGACTTGAGGGCAGAGGTCATCGTCGCAGGAATGTTGTCAACTATAACGATGGATTGAGCGACGAACAGTGGGTGATGGTGAGTCTATCAATCAGACGTTTGTTGGATCGACCACTGAGGCATCGCAAATTCAGGCCCTAGAGGATGGGGAGGATATAGAGGAAATCGCTGAACGGAATCGTGACAAGAAGGATCGCCGGGCTACTAACAAGCTATTGCGAGACGCCGAGGTATCGGGAGTTGCGACGCCGGTTTCTGATACCGACTCTCGCGGGAGGAAGGGGAGGAAAGGCAAATCGAAAATGGCTGAGCTTGACTTTGACACCCCTACCAATGGTAAACGGAAACGTGGCATGAAGTCTATGTCCGTAACGCCGTCCATCAACGACGAAGAGGAAGAGGATCGCGATGCTGTAAGTTGTCTCATCAGTCGTCAAGTCGTACTGTCTCTGACTCTGGATGTATAGAAACGTCGCAAGACAAAGGCTGCCGACATTCCTGCTGCTGTACGCGACCGCATGAAGAAGGCGTTCATGGAATGCTACAAGGCCGTTCTGGCATGCACGGATGAGACCGGCCGAAAACGGTGCGAACTGTTCAGGGAGCTTCCAGACAAACGAGTGAGTAGTGGGCCTATCTCTAGTGTGGACCAAGCTCACTTTTCATCCCAGGATTATCCGGATTACTACCAGCTTATTGGGCAGCCTATTGCTCTGTCCCATATACGCAAGCGTAGCACGTCGAACTACTACAAGGATGTCCAGCAATTCCGGAACGACTGGAAACTCATGTTCAGCAATGCCCGGACCTACAACCAAGAAGGGTCCTGGGTGTACATCGACGCGGAGGAGATGGAGAAAGTGTTCGATGCCACGTTCGATCGTGTCCTTGCTGGCTCCGGTTTGCCAGGAGCTCCCGCTGCCGCTGCTGCCACAGGGGGAACGGATGATACTGCTCTGACTCCCATGGAGGAGGACGAGCGTCCTCCCCCCAGAAGCAAAAGTAAGGGACGGAGACAAATCGTCAGCGATGAGGAGTATCTCACTCCCAGCGACGAGGAGTGATGGATCCCCTGGTCGTCTTGATTCTTTACCTTCTTTATTGCGGTTTATCTATCAACCCTCCTGTACATAGTGTTGTAGTTTTACGCGCGGATGCGCCCGAACCGTTCGGATTGCACGAGGACCGGTGCCGGGGTCAGTAGCTGAGGGTCAGGATCAGATTACGTAAGGAACGCGGAGGCGTCCAATCGCGGTCGTGCAATCTGCACGGTATGAGCTCCTGGACGCGCGCGTTCCACTCGAGGGGATGGCGGTTGCGAATTGAACGTCGTTCAAATCGCACCTGCCAGCCCCCTCGGTCGATCGCTGGGCACCCACGTGGTGGTACGACGATGGACGAACGGGCAACAACAGTGTTGCTCTTCCTTTTTGTTGCACTCCTGAGACGGTCAGCCGCACGCGCCCACCGTTTGCTCACTTCGTCTTGCTAGCTTCCCTGTAATCCGCGATCTGTCAGCATGGAAGGGATATCTAACGACAATGAGGCCGTCGCGCAGACCGTGGACCCGATGGCTCTGAACAAGCAGGACGTGCTCAAACTGTACGAAGACCTTGCAAACGTCACAGCGAGACGGGTGGCTCTTCAGGGGAGAATAGATAGTGGCAGCCGCAAGGTGAAGTGTACTGGAAAAGGTACAACACTAATTTTATGCCTTGTTCAATGTGAGACAACATGAGGTACTGAATTGTGGGCTGTCAGCCAACCTCGCCAAATATGACAAGGAAATATCATCTATCAGGTGCAGGATTGAAGCTCTGGGATATTCTGGTGATTGGAAATTTCTTGCCGTCCATCCTCTGCATGCTCACCTCCTGTCGCATCAGCGGAGACCATCCCTGAGTTCCTTCACTCTGCAACAGGCAGCCGGGCATCATCTGTATTAACAAGTCTTCCAGCATCTCCCATTCCTTCCCCTGTAGCCAGCCCTCGCCACGATGAGGAGGATGTTGACTGGGATAGTCTCATAGATCCAGCATTGCGGGGTCCAACTCCAGCGCTGACAGGTGGCAATCCACGAGCACCAGGTACGCGTATCCATATATACATACACTCCACAAGCGGCCAATGGCATTGACATATAGGACAAGGAACCCCCCCACCTATTCTGCACAATCGTACAACACCTTCAGATACGCAGTCCAACTGGAAGTCCTTGATCGGTAAGTTCTTCACCTCAATCTTCCAGTTGCTCCCATGAATACAGCTTAAATGATGTCCTGGGATAGACTATTCAAGCTCCCCAGCCAAGGTTGGGACTACGAGCGCAATGTCCAGCCCAGTCCCCGATAATCAAGCCGCTCCAGATCCTTCTCATCTCCAGAGCGGCAAACAAGACTCGGAGGACTCTAGCTCCACCTCCACCACCTCTTCATCCGACAGCTCATCTGACGAGTCTGGCATGGATAGTGGTCCTGACAATGACCAAGCTTCAGACTACCAGCCAAACGTAGTCACCTCTCCACGCTCAAGTGCCCCACCAGAGTCGCAACAAGGCCGTGTAACAACTGTTGAAAGGCTGCAGTCTCAGTACGAGGCGAAGGAGTCTGAGAGGCAGAAGATTAAGGGTGTCATCTCGGCATTGAAGGAGGAGAAGATGGCAATATCTGCCGAGCTTCAGCGTCTCGAAGATTCCATCAGGGAGGCACGTGAGTGCTCTGCAGCCCACACTCAAACAGAGGAACAGGTGGCGGCGACGCTACGAGGGCTTCAGGCTCAGCTGGTGCAGGCTCAGATACGGAAGGCTGAGGCCAAGCGCAGCCGCCATGGGACTCCAGAGCAACAGGGGATTTGGCGCATCGCCAAGAAGGAGCTAAAGGCAGTAGAAAAGGAGGTTGAAGAGCATAACACACGGCTCAAAGGGGTGACGAAGCTCCGCATGGATCAAGATGCACGCCTCCGTGAGATCCTCGCTCAGCACCAGGCTCTGCACCAGCGAAAGCGTGAGCTGGTAGTACAGAGGATCAACGAAGCCGTGCTACAGTGCAACCAGCTGACTTTGGAGACCTCGCGCATCCACTCTGAGCTGAAGGAAGCTCGATCAACCATTCCAGGTACGTTCACACACCAGTCCAGTGGGGTTCGAAGATCTTATATTTGTGGACATAGAGGCTTCAAAACATCAAAAGCATCGTGCTCATTCTCGTGGTGAGTGATTTGGTGTCCTTAGGCTCTGAGATGTGCTTCACTCTTGAAAATGTAGGCCGTTCAATCTCTCCATCGCCACAGCGTAGGAAGAAGTCAAGGAGAGCTTCTACAGAGTCCCACTCAGAAGACGAACACATCTCAGACCCAAGCTATGGTGGCCGACAAGGTGCAAAGTCAAAGGGTAAAGAAGCAGTGAAGAAGGTCACCGACTCCGAGCGCGCAAAGTTTGCCACCAACAGAGATTATAGAACAGATGATCTACAACGTGGTTTTCAACACCTCCTTCAGTTTGTTCGCACTCGCTGCTACAAGCATCAGTCCGTGAAGGTCCTCGCAAAGACGGATGAACAGTGTGGCTCTATACGACTTGAAAGGGGTCAAGATCCGCCTGAAGGATACATGAAATGTGGCTGCAAAATTGAGTCGCATCTGCTGGATCTTCTGGCATTTAAGGTCTGCTTTTGATATCTCAACCTGAACGTGTTGCTCGTACTGAATAAATTGTACACTGGCAGGATCCTGCTCAGGACACCAGACCAGGTGCAAGTGGCACCAGCCTGACCCATGACCCGTTCGTCCATGGTGTCGTGAATCAGCGCCAGGCATACTTGCGGCTGCTGCAGGATGTCACCCATGTTGGACTGGATGACCTGCTCAGGCCCGAGCTGGGGCGTACATTTTCTATCGCTCATGAATGTCTTGGTTGGATGGCCATGGGTATGGAGCAAGGCGCTTTTCTGCCGTCGGAGAAGCAGGAGGCTTGCATGAGACTCAGCCAGAGACTTGATAACATTCAGCAGGATCTCAAGGAGGTCTGGAGAGATGCTGCACAACTATGGGAGGAGTGTAACCAGCAGCCGTCCATTGTATGGTACTAATCAGTAAATAGTCGTAATGCATGTTCAGACTGACCATGGTAAGTGCTTGTGCAATCTGATTGTGTAGGTTACTAGAGCAAGCCAGTAATGTATTTCAAAACACTTATTCCGGCCACGCAATCCCATCCCATGGGTTGGGTATTAATCACTCGTGCGGAATGCCGGTGCAATCTGCACGCTTATTCAACACTTCAACACGTGTCTGAATCAGGTCCTGTGACTTTGGTAGTTACAACTGTCACAGCAGTCACGAAGTGTCACACCACAATGCACCCTCATGGTGGCTGTCGGATAGCCGTTTAAGCTTAAACAACAGTGCAGGACGTCTTGATTTGGCTATATCCTGACACTGAGATAGAGAAATATCACACAACTCCAATTTCTGGTGCAAGAAGTGACAACCTTCCAGCCATGTGACAATGTGACATCTGTGACACCAACTGTGTGCCCTTCTTGGCCCATGTCTTTCCGGTGGGCAAGGACCCGTCAACTAATGGGGGCTTCAGCCCTCTGGAAGGTTTCATGAATGAAAAAGACTACAAATCATCTGTCTCTCCTATAGCTTCTAATTGGCACTGCTCTGACATCTACCTTCACAAATAGAGTTGTCGAGTTGTCGACTCCCTCCGCATCGCCGACGAATCGCTCTTCCCTATTCCTATCACGCTCGATGTCTCCCATGAAGATATCAAGAAGCTTTCGATTGCACCAGGTGCTCGGTTAGCTCTCCGCGACAGATGACGAAGCCAAAGCCCTTGCTATTCTTACTGGTGAGAATATTGTCCTCGAGATTATAGATTATCTCTATTACTAACAGGTCCCTAGTTGAGGATGTTTACCAGCCAGACAAGGTCAAAGAGGCCATCGTTGTAAGTCTGCTTCCTCTTGCGTTCAACCACGTAGGCTCTGGTGGCGCAAGATCGTCACCTTCCAGGACGCGCACCGCAAGCTGACCGTGCGCCCGCGCCAGTGCCAGGTGGATATGCTCATCCAAGAAGCCTGGCGACGTCGACCACTATGCGTGATGCATGCGTATAAGGATGAGCTGCAGATTGAGATGGTGCCGTTCCAGGCAGCACAGCGGGCAGCGTCTCGCTGCTCCTCGGCGAGACTTTGCAGCACGAGCTCCAAACTCGGGTTCATGAAGGAGGACAGCAGCAAGCACCTGCAGCGCATCGCATTTGTCGCGGTGGAGCTCGCGCGGGCGCAGCCATCATCTGATGCAAATATGTAACATATTAATTGTTCAATCTATACTAGCCAAATGACATGACAAATAACCGATTCAAATTGCACTACTAAAATTAAAGGGACTGCGCTGAATGCCTAACCAACTACGGTTGACTTTGTGTTCGGCGCGTGCGGCGGGTTACCCGTTCTGTTATATTACTGGACTCCAGGAGGTCGGCATTAGCTTGCACAAGGTGTCTATCAGCGCTCAGGCGCCGACGGATACTGGTTGGACGAAGCGAATCCTCCTTGCGCAAGTCTTGGATACGCGCAGGGGGGGCAGGTGTGCCTGATGCTGAAAGCACCACACGTACCTCTTCATCTGTAGCATCCTTCACTTCTTGTGGCATAGCTTCCTTCCGGCGAACCCAATCATGCTCCAGCTTATATTTCTTCCGGAGTTGCTTGCAAATCTCACGAATTCGGATGGCCATGGAGAGGTTCGGATCCATTGCTGCCACAGCAATCCTTGAAGAATGCAATCAGTAAATAGGATGGTGATGGAATAATATCAGCAGACGTACTGGGTCCTGCCATTGATTCGCACAGGGACAGCATTGCCACAGTATTCCAAGGGTCCGACAGCCACTGCGCCTGTATCCTTCTTCACGATGTTGAGAAACAGCTTTGCCTTCTTCTCAGAACCAGTGAATTCATAATAGATGACAGATGATCTATCATGATACCGTCAGTCAGTAAATACTCCAACCGTAATACTGGTACGCACGGTTTCTTCCCAGACATTACCACTGAGTTGTCTGGGAAAGGGTGTGCAACTGTCCAAACATCTTTCCGTAGGTGAAAAGCATGGATGGGACGTCGCTTGTAGCCTGAGGGTTTCTTTGAGCCTGCCTCCAAGGGCCCAGGCTCCCAGAAAAGAGTAGAGTATCCAACATCAGACGTGGCATCATAAGGGGTTAGGAATGTACGTTTGGATAGTAAGCCTAACGAAGATGATTCTGAGGACCTGCAACTGGATTGAGGATTTACTACTCACCACGTCGACGGAACATCACAGTCAGAGGGTCCACAACCAGTGACTTAGCACTACCTAGACGAGCCCACTCCTTCTCACCGAAGATCAGGGCACCAAGGTTGCACCTATCAAGGGTTAATGCCGGGCGGACAGCATTCGGCTCAAAGAAATCATAGAGTTTAGCTGTATCGCGCGACCAAGGTCTCAACTTTTTGGCGTAGTTATCAATCACATTCTGATATTTGAGCTGATCAGTAACATATAGGCTCTGCGATGGAAGAACGAGGCAACTAACATTATACCTATCCACGGAGTGGGCCTGACGTGGCGTACATTGTTTGAAAGCCTTAGCCCAAACAGTGAGCATATCCTTATATTTCAGTCGCTGGTTGACGGTGGGTGCGATCGTCAATGTGTCCTTGTCCATGCATGGTCTCAAGAGTTTTCTATTCCAGTAGTTAGCAAGCTCAGACAGCGAAATTCGAAACACAGTCCTTGGCAGATCACTGCACTGGTATGGGCAGAGTACCCGTCATGTTTGGCTGTATCCGTAACCCGCGGGTACCCGTGTAATCGTACCTGACCTGTTGACGTGTTTGGTTGCAGGTTCGATATGGGTACGTGTTGTGGCACCCGCGGGTGTACCGATGCATGAATAAGTGCAACGTGCACGTATGGGTACGTATGCAGGCATGGTCCTGTTTGCACCCCTGACCCAGCGGTACTCGAAAATGCGTTGTTTGCTGCACTTTCGAGACCGAAATCAGGTACCTGCCTACCCGCACATTTCTAAAGCGCTTCTTAAGAGAAAGTGAACAACTCACAGTAGCATGTTGCCATGGCGCACTGCATACGCAAATGAGTAGAATGCAGCGCAGAGCCGTGCTAGGCGTGAGGGACATCGGATGACTTCGCCCTCTGTCAGCCATGGTGAGAGACCTGCGCGGTGGTCAGCATTTATCATCTGCAGGACTAAGGCGTAAAGTAGAACCTACCAGCACGATCAAATATCTCAGATAAACTATAAACTCCAATTCCACATATACGCCATGGGGAGTCTCCTGTCCGCATTTGAATTATCATCAAACCCCGGCCAACACCCCTGCTGGCGATGCGGGGCTCATAATATTTTACAATGAGGACCAGAAAACCATTGAAGTCGTCATAGATATCTGGTGGAGGTGGTGGTGCTGCCAGCGCATCCTTTTTAGTCCGCCATATAGGCTAGGGACAGAATTTGATGTGAGTGATTCTCCTTCAGGCATATTATCATGAACAGAACTTGCCTGAAACATAAGGTCTGCACTCAGGAAAGCAAGGACGAAGTCCTTAAACTCAAAGCCAATGGCCACAAGAAACTTGCGGTCCTAGCGTTCATTTTCAATTTGTAAATGAAAGAGTACATGGTAAAAGTGAAACCAAATTGTACCTTCTTGGGTATTTGGAGGACTGCAGTCTCCCAGGTCGAGCGTGAATAGCATTGCACGGATGTATGCGTTAGTGGTGCCATCTGCTCCAAGATGTTCCAGAGACAAAGAAACTACTACATCACTCAGGAAAACGTACCGAGAGTACCAAGGGACCGAAGTCCAGAGTCACAGTATGCCCAGTGCTCGATACAGAATCTGGCCCCAGGCGAAGGGATGAAATAGGTGCTGCCCCTCTGCCCTTCCACATCGGCGGGAACAGAGGTGTTTGATTGTCCTTCTGACCCCTCATGCACTTGCAGGATGTGTCCAGCTTGTAAGCGTGGCCAGCTTGCACACGCACATTGCTCGACTTCAATTGTTCCTTATCCGTTGCATCTGCCCAAATATTTTGCACCGTCAGATCACACTTCCAAAATGCCCTGGTGTTTAGGACTTCTTCAATGAACTTGTCCATTGCCTTGACCTCGCGATACTCAGGCATAATAACAGAGCAATAGAAGATACAGGATACAGAGTCAGACACGTAGCCTCAAGCTCAGCAGGTGCAGACGCGACAGCGCGTCTGTGGCGCAGCTCAAGCCTGTGACAGTGACGGGTGTCACATTACTTGAAGGTACGATATTATCCCAAAAATTGATGAAGTGTGGTATTTCTCTATCTAGAAGTCCTTGCTTTGCCAAAAGGATATGTTTCTGACCCTTGTCTGACCTTACGTGGACATCCGACAGCCTCCAGGAAGGTCTCAAGGATTGTGACCGTCACCGTCATGTCACCATGACGTGACACAGCAGTCACTCTGACAACCGTCTGAATCTGAATGTGTCACCGGAATGTTGAGCTTGAGTGCAGTGATTCGTGAGTGTGTAGTGCCATTACTCCATCCTGTGGCCATGCAATACAGATATTCAGTTTGCCTGTTTATTCCAGACCACCTGGTATCTTCTCTGTGGTGAGTGGACTTTCCTGGGGTCATTTGCACCGGCATAACACATGTTCACAAGACCACTCTGATTGAATATGGATCCACAAATGTAGTTAGCTCATGCCGTCATGATAGTGGCATAAAACAGTCAGTCAGCAGTCATTTATTTCGATATTTTAATGTGTTAATATCTGCTAGACATGGTTCAGAATTCAGAATACCCGTCCGAAAGGGCTCATGAACCGCTGGCTGCTGTTCCGGTTTGTGGTGATAATGAACCACTTGATTCCCCCTCCATCTGCGGGTATGTAAAACTATCACAAAATATGTAACTTATGTGGTGTAATTTACAGAATGCATGTAAACCAGATCAGAGTACGTGTCCTATTTGCACCGCTATCAGTGGACATTTACAGCTACTGGCAGCTCAGTCTGCATGATCAAAAGTGATATGCACTTTGACTTGGTATTGCGCGACACCTCAACCTGCAGTATATCATGCAGGTGCAGGTATTCCAGTCTCTGATGTGTACGCTTTCTCTGGCTTGTTGCCTGATCTCTGCACCTCAGTTTCTCTGCCCCTGTTCCTTCGTCGATCTATTCTGTTTACTCCTCATCGAAACCTGCCAAATCTGTCAATTTACTGTTGCCTATCTTCTTCTCTATGATGCCTAAGCCTACACTTGCTATAACGTCAGCCTCAAAGCAACCAAGAAAGCGCAAACAAGGTGTCTCTGAGATACCGCCCTATACAGCTCTGGCAAGCATCAGTGAGAAGAAAGTGTCTGCCTGGTTCCGCGCTGCTAGTACCTCAGAGAACTACAAGCGGTATGTCAAGGAAGGGAAGGAGTGGGTGCAGAAATGGGCAGATGGAATGCAGGATGAGGGGGAAGGAACACCGCAGCAGACTGAGCGGGTAGGATTGGCTCAGGCGTTCGATGTGATAGGGGAGAACACCGCAAAGGCTCTGCATGCTTTTGTAATCTACAAGTGTTCCATACAGGAGAACAGCTATAAGACAGCTGAGGGAATACGATCTGCCTTCAAGCATTATTTCACATAGTGAGTGCTCCGAAAAGGGCCAGGATTACGACTGCTAACAGAAGTCCCAGCACACATAAGTGCCAGGGAGACTTCTGGAAGTGCAATGCTGCTACGGGCGAATGGGAGGGGAACCCAGTATTCAACCTAGCATATTCAGCTTACCACGAGTCTCTGAAGAAGGAGTACCAGCGCGGCAGTGACTCAAGCCACAGTTTACCGATGTTGCCGAAAGATATTGCAAGGATGTTTGCCTTTGCGGACAAGGCCGTGCTGCAACACCAGATTTCTAAGACGCTATGTTTATTCTGGAAGGCCTTCGTTTCAATCTCATTTACTCTATGGACCCGGTACTTGCTAGCACAATACGGTTTTTTTGTATTTCTGTGACTAACAGATGGTTTAACATAGATGTGATGAAAGTATTCATCTGCGACGCGGTGAAGTGGCCCTTGACCTTCGAGATCATAAGGATGCAACCCGTTTCACCGATTCACGCTGACATGGCGAAAGACTAACCAAGACAACCCAGAAAAAGGTCAGTCATGACACCGGAAGTCTGCTCTAATACTGACGCCCAATGCACTTACAGCAAATGACTATGATATCCCTTACTCGCCGGACTCGCCTGCCCCGGACTGCTACACCCACACGTCAAGTTGGATCAAACATCTGGAGGGAGAGATGCAGCGACCGCTCACAAGAGAGGACTTCATTTTCCCAGCAGTTGCTTCAACGGGAAAGCTCAAAATTGGGACGGCAGTATCCCGCTCCGAGATTGAAAAATTGCTAGACTTCTTTGTTGCAGGTGCCGGGCTTCTCCGCGAACGACCAGGGAAGTTCACTACTCATTGCTTTCGTCGCGGCGGTGCTCAGTGGTGCTTTATGTGGCGGCCGGATCGCAAATGGAGCCTGAAAGCTGTGAAATGGTGGGGCGGTTGGGCCCCATCCGAGAGTGTGGGTACCCGTATCAGTTATTGTCACTTCAAGTCACTGATCAGCCATGCAGGTTGGCACCCTGACACGTTATCTACTGGACGAAGTCTCCAAATATGAACATGGCTACGGGGATATGCTGATGCCTAGTCGCAGCTATGAGCGCCACGTTACTTTTATGGGTGTAGAGAAGGATGGTACCTCCGAGTCGACATCTGCAGCAAGATCTCTGGGCACCCTGGGCTCCACGTCTGCCGGTGCAGATCTCGAGACCCGTTTGGCAACTATTCAAGCCCAAAATGAAGCAAGCCTCAAGCTGCTTCTCTCGTATTTGGATTCCAGTGGCAGCAAGATACCTTACCAAAGGGAGGAGGTGAACTCACGCCCCCAGCCTGATCAGGGACATGTCACTGGCAAGCAAGGCGGCTTGTCACCGGGCGTGGCCTGTCCGGATGCATTAACATGTACGTCTGTTTCCTTCTTCCTTGTGTGTCACCCCACTAACTGTTCCATAGTACGCCGACGTCGAACATTTGATTTCAGTAGGTACACAACTACTACGAAATCTGTGCCCCCGACACCCACGTCCTCCCCAGCCCGGGCCACGGAAGATGCATTAAGTCGTGTTGCGCCATCTCTCGATCCGTCCAAGCTACGCGTGCCCGCGACTCACTCGCTGGCAGACTGTCTCGAGTACTGGGATCATGGTAAGCCGGAGTTGGGGCTTGTGCTTCCCCTGCGGGAGTGGCCGAAGCAGTTCAGGCCATCACAATACAGGAGCGAGGCTGTCAAGTGGGGTCGGATACAGAAGGTGGTGCACGAGTTCCGCACAATCTGCCACGGCGACAGGGAGCTTGTTAAGACTCAGCTAAGCGGACTTAGAAGTTCTTAACGAGAGTTGCTCAACGACGAAGCTAGAGTTCACGCGAGGTAAAACACCAGGTAATCTCGTAGATTCGCAGAATCCGAACAACTAGTGTACAACGAGTAGAGACGAGTCTTATATACCAAGCTACAATTACACTAGACTAGAAGAGGAAATCAGTACCGAAACCAATCAGTAATCGCCATACTTGTACATCAGTACTATACAAGGATAAGTCAAAGGAAATATGTTTTTCGGGGTTTTGCGATCCCTACATTCGCCCTCCTAAGTATACGACAGAATACTTACAATGAAAAGGAAAAAGCGAAATAACCAGCTAGATAGTAGTGTTAGAGGATGATGCAGCACCAGGGACTCCGCTAGCACCCATGGAACCACCCATAGCATCACCCGCCGCTGGGCCAACGATGTGGCCATCAGCAGCCGGTCCAGCACCTTGAACGGCAGCAGACGCGGCATTGAACATAGCGACATCCTCATCTCCCTGCATGTTCATGCCCTGGAACGGAGAGACCGGTGTCTCGGGAGGGCTACCCCAGTCTGTCAACTGGGCAGATGGACCGGAGCGGTTAGAAGGGCCGGCAACAGCATTAGCCCCACCGTAATACGAGCCCGATTGCAAGGAGCCACTCTCGAAAGAATGGAAGTCGTGTCCGGCCCCCGACGATGCAGACGTCGGCGTGGGCGCAGGAACCGGCATGGAAGTCGTCGCAGCAGCATAACCCGGTTGCATACCATTGGTGAAACCAACAGCTGCCAGTCCGGGACCTGGAGTAGGAGTAGTTGAACTCCCCGGCGCGCCCGGGTACTGGTATGGGTGAGTCCAACCTTCAATAAAAGCACGACGGGCATCAACATAAGCGGGACAAGAACAAGCGCGCAACTTCGCACCATGATGCATACCGCGTCCGCGGGACATGCCACGACCACGACCCCGGCGAAACGAGCGCAAACGCTCCGCCCGACGAGCCTGGAGCTCTGCTCGGAACTCATCTGCCACGAGAGAACCGAACGGACCCAGCAAAGCTGACTCGGATGGTGACAGTGAAGGTGTAGTCAATGGAGCCGTGGTGGTCGTGGTTGGCTCGGCGACGGTTGTGCGAACCGCGATGCCTCCGCCCTGGAAAAACTCGAGGGCGAGGAGGCGAAGGCTCTCGCCCCGGGCCGTCAGCCATCGGCCGTCGCCCGTGAGTTGGTGACGCCAAGTGCGGTATCCCGCTGGCGGGTCGGGAATTGCGGCGCCCGCGTCGAGCGCGCTGAGCGCCAGGTCGAAAGCCTCGATCGCCGCGACGAGCTCTGGGGTGTCGGGGAGGCGTACCGGCATGGTAGGGAGGAGGGGCTGTGTCACCGCGAACCTCAGTGGGCATGGATGATATGAGTGAGAAGTCTGGGGCTCATTATATACGCCAGGATGTATAGAAATGGAACCAGAAAATACCTGTGGGTCATCCTCAGGAGGCTTTCCTGTCCCGTTGGGCAATTGACCGATTTTGGATATGCCCATGGCTTCGAGATAAGCGTCGAGAGCCTCCAGGTGTCGGATAGCGGACAAGGGTTCCCAAGAGTCATCCCCAGATTTCCAGCGCACCTGAAACAAGGCAGAGGTGCCTTTCCCTTGGTGGCTTAGGATGCGATCCACAGCCCATTCCTTCGGTTCATCGCCTAGCCCAAGTAACTGAGACAACTGGCGGCCGGGAAACCGCCTGTCATCGTTCGGAACATGAATTCTAAGCTTGGATGCGTGAAAAGCATCATGGATCCCGCGTTTCTTCAGGTCCGGCGACAGGTCAAGGCGAAAGCTCGAGCCAGGCTCAAGGACCTTCGTAATCTTGAATGGTCCAATGTACTTCGCAGCAAGCTTGCGCGCGCGACCCTTAGGCAAGCGCAGGTCCTTAGTTGACAGATAAACCCAGTCTCCTACAGCGAATGGAGCTGGTCGACGATGTCGATTGGCATCTCGTGTTTGCTTGATACGCTGATAAGCCTCAGGATCGTCTGACCCCCGAAAACGCGGATTCAGCACATCATACAAGTGCCCCGGAGCTTATTCGACACAGCGCTCGCACGCCTCTAGGCTTCTATGGGCTCTAAAAGACTTTTTCTATTTAGCTCCGGACTTCCCAACATCCTCGAGGCGTACTCGGACCCATTCAGCGATTTATCTCCGCGCACCGAAGCTCCGGAGTTACTTAACCAATGCGACTTCTAGCTGCGTTAGATCCGGGACCTGCGGACACTTCTATCGAGGGGCGTCTTCCTCATGCCCACCCTCCAGCACTCACTCCCCCTCGTTTCCGTCAAGATACCGAAGGTGCGGACGCATACGAGTCACCATAAGGTCAGCATCAGTCAGCAAACGGCCGGAGGTAATTAACACGTGACCGGCGTGTCGCACGGAGTGATGGGACCGCTTGGGTCAGGTGGTGAAGCGTCGAGGCGACCTATAGGGGCTGGAAAGAGCAAGTGGGAGCGCAAGAGAGTCGTATGGTATATGGTATAGCGGAGGAAAGTGCTGAGCAATCCTGTGGGTAGCGGCGTTTATTTGTTATTTATCTCCGAACGGTCGCAAAGCCATTCCTGTAGTATAAATTGTACAAAGTAGCATACAGAAAAATAAGTTTCGACTTCACCATCTCAGAGAATTAGCGTTACGATCTCAGCGACCCGAGAAGTTCGAAAAGCGTCGAACTTAGCGAATTATAACCGATCCTAGCTTTGCCAATAGGCCTGACTCGTCGAGTGAATTATCTCCGCCATCGATTCATTTAGCTCCGGCGTCAAGGTTTTTGTTTTATTTTTCTAGGTCTTCCTACGGACTACCCTACGGCGTCTTACTCCTCCTTTCCCCCTCGAACTATTAAATACCCTTCAGTTGTCTCGGACCGCCTTCACCCATATCACGGGGTTTAGG